CACTTAAAAGCATTATATCATCTTTGTTTTCTCAATAAATAAATCATTATATAAATATCATTAAGCTGTTCTTATTTTCACTCACATCGTTTTACCACTTTTCTTATCTTCTACTTAAAGTTATTGCCTTCATTTTTTTTTGTTTGCCTTTCGAGCAATTGATAAAATGTTTCTTTTGGCAAATACTTATGATAAACATGTTGTAAAGTGTCCGAATCGATTAAGTTCATTGGTAATGCTCCACCCAACGCCTCGATTTTTCTGACCAGTCCAGGCAAACAAACCAATAAACTGTATGAGCTGACCAAAAAACTTTTGACACCCGCACCAAAGGGAATCGATGGGAATGTTAGTTTGCTCCACTTTCTGCACTTGAAATATATAAATTGAAGATACGTATACGAGATGTACAAGTTTGACTCTTGCTGCAAAGATGTTTACCGAATGCCAATGGAAAATATCATTTAAAAGGCATCCAAATGGAGAAGATATATACACAAAATGGCAAACGTTTCCCAGGGGCAGTCGAGCGATGTAAAATATGGATAGAAAGAGAGCAAGCGGAGGGGCTGTCATGAATGGACACACTATATGGTCTCTTGTTAGTCTTTGACTTTGACAGTTGCTGTTCAAATTGGCGGCAAAAAAGGGGTAGTAAAGCGAAGAAAAGAGCTGGAGCTGGGAGCTAGAGCTGGAGGGCCATTAAACGAGACATGAATGAGCTGACCATTAGCCGGGTCATTCTGTAAACTCAGTAATTGACCAGCGCTTAAAGATTGGGCCACCTATTTTTTTTTTTTTTTTTGAATTTTTTTCTTACCCACATACTTTATTGTGGGGCGTTACACGTGCGTGCCAGTTAAAAATTTTCCAAAGAAAAAAAAAACCGAAACTAAATAACCGCTAGTTAAGTTTGCTTTGTCATAACTAACAGTTTGCATTTGTAGTTTTTGTTCGCAGGCAGCCTTTGTTGAAATTTTACAAGTCACGCACTGATTTGGCAATTTGCATGCAGCTACCGCTAGATGGCGCCAGCACGTGCTCTCAGTCGGGGGATTCCCCCTAGGTCTGTCGCCCCGCCTTTATAGCACGCACCCAATCAATATTTGAATTGGTTTTGGTTTACCAATCATATTTCTATTTTTTGCCAAATTTTTGCAAAAATTTTTAATTTAAACTTTTGCTGTAAATTTCCTTTCAATGAGCTTTGAATTAATGCCACCGCCCACACTGCGTATGCGCAATATGCAGTTGATATGGAAATGCCAAAAGGATTTGAACTGGTTTCAGGGATTTTCGGTGTAGTATGCTCAGTTCGATTGGCATTTTTGCCAAATTAAATATTTTCCAAATGTGTGTCACTCGATTCGCCCCTCTAATGGCACAACTTTCCATGTTCAAGTATTAATTTATTGCCAATCTAAATGCGAGGACGAATGCACAGGAAGTAGAATTGGAAGTGGGGTAACTTCTTCTGCTGCTTCTGGCATTTCCATTTGCATTGTAAGTTGGGGAGATTTTTCGTAGGATTTTAGATGGGAAAACAGGAGCGTGTAAGGGTAAATTGGGTTAATCATTATGAAGGAAATTGGTAGGATTCTAATTTGTATTTTCGTTTCTGGTAGATACTAATTTATTTTATGAATTAATCCTTTGAATTATTTCTTAACTTAACTTTCTCTCTAATTTTTGGGTTTTATATAAGTTGATCCTACAGTTAACCTCGTCCCTGTGAATCGGGCATTGATATCGATAACAGACGCTTGAACCTGACTAGCAACTCCTTGCCCACATGTATCCATACCGCCCATACCAAGTTTATCCCCCGCAACATTCCCCTACACCTACAAACGAACTTTTTCATGCTCCATTGTGTTATAAATATTCATAAAGCGCTCCGCCATTTTTCGTTGCGACCGCCGCAACTAAAGCCTTGATTTCTTGCAGTTTGCTACACCCACAGGCACACACACACATACATGTTACCAATACCTAGCCAATATGGCTGAAATAACCCCCCTTTGCCATTTTCGCCATTTTCCAGAGGGTTGAGGCGGTTGAACCACCCACACTGCCCATTTAACCGCAAGCCATGCTTCTAATGCCGCGTTGGCATAAATTTAAAGCAGCAGCTGCGGTTTTTCCACTGCTTTTCCTCTCTCTCTCTAGTTTTTCCGTTAGATGGCGGGTAGGAGGATGGGTGCTTCTGGGATTTGCTCTCTTTTAACAAAATGAAGAAGAGTAAAGGAGAAAGAGTATTACAAAAACTAAACCCAGGTACGGCTTTAAAACCGAAAAAGCATTTTATACTGCTAATTGATTTTTCAAAACACCCAAAAAATAACCAAAAAGGAAAGACCCCCTCTCAATGTTGCGGCTGCCACTGCGCTTTTGTTTGGCATTCAATTAATGGGAATTTGCATTTTATCTATGGATACACTTTGCCACTATATATTTGGTATACCTCTTGATATCGCCGGAATGGGTGGGCCTGCCGTAAAAACAAGAATCTCAAGTGCTAAATCAACAAAACAAAAGAACAAAAGTGCGATAAAAATGTATACGAATTTACGTAGCTCGGTGCTATTTCGCCTTTAATTACAACTCTTAGCATTGATCTCGGGAATCAATTGGCCAAATGCTCTTTAACATGTGTGAAAACAAGAAAAATTCCATTACCAAGTGTTTGATGGGGAAATAAACCCAGATTCGCAATTATCGTGGGTTGAGTATTGGGTTTATGGTAGTTAAGTTTTCAAATATTATTATTTTGAATTTACAATTCATGAAATCAAAGTATTTCTTAAGTAAAGAAGGTTCAACACCAAGTGGTAATAATTATAAATTTTTCATTTGATATTACAAGAACGCCTTTAGCAACCCTCGCTAAGTGTGGAAATCGTTTACCTCTAGTCAATAAACAATGAACCTAACCTCCGCCGTATTTAAATGATGATTATTCACACTATTTTTAAAAGTTAGCAGTCTTATGCTAGCAATAGTTATATTATTGATTGGGCAAGAGGAGGTCTTTATGAGATATTTTTATCTTAAGTTGTTAGGGTTAGTCAAGGAAAATTATTTAATTACCTTTAAATAATATAATAATCTTTAGTTTCTGAATACTTAACTTTGGCTCTAGATAATCTTCAACAGGCAAAGAAATCTTGTTCTAGACATAAACAATAAATTAACCAAAAAAGGTGGAGCTGATATCACATAGTCTCGTAATATCTTTCCCAACCAACCAGTGATAAAAGCGGAAACTCCAGACTTCACCGGCCCGCCCACCGTTTACAGAGATATCTAGATGGATCTGGCCTAGACTGTTAATGATATCAGCCCACCCCTTGCCATCAAATCATTATGTATGGGAGCTCAATAACAATTATTATCGGTCGGTTAAGTTCATAAAACTCGATGGGCCCCACATGCATACATAAATAATACATGAATGGCAGTGGCATAGCCAAGATGACCAGCAATTGCAGTTGTGGTTTTCGGTTGATGTTGAAGTTGGAGTCTCAAGGTCGCGTTACACACTTAATTTTACACTGAGGCTGCATTGCCTGCAGTTTGTTTGGGTGAAGTGGGGATATATCGATGAGGAGTGGTCGCACCGCTAACCGGTTCTGCAGCAAAACGATCTTGCTGATCTTCTCGTACAGCTTCTTCTTTTTGCCTCATTTTGGCAATATCAAAGAAGCAGCAACAATGCCAAAGGCATGACATTGAATTGTAAGTTTCAGACGATAAAAAATAAACGCTGAACGCATAAAGTATACGAATAAAGTAGAGGAAGAGCAAGGAAAAAGACAAAGCAGAGAAGCAAATAAAATGTAAGCCGACATCCGATGCATCTGAATGGCGGCTATGGGCTAGAGATGATAGCGTGAGTCGTGAATTAATATAGAAAGCGTAAAATAATGAAAATATATGTTAACTTAAAATTTTTAAATTTTTAATCAGAAACTTAGAAGGTAGAAAGAATAATAGAAATAATATTTTATATTAGATCTAAAAGCACATTTATATTGGTTGGATCGCTTTATGAACTATTTTTTATTCCTGACCTATAAAATTTGTATTCATCGCCCTAAAAAATGTCTTTTTCTCACCTCACCTCTCCACTTCAGTTTTCTTTTTAAGTCACCTGCCTTTCTTTTCGATAGTCGGAACACGTGCCAAGCCCATTACAAAAGGTCACACATATGCTAACAAAGTACACTTTTTTTCGCAATGCATGCTGTTGCTTTTTGCCCCTTTGCATAGTGCCCACACCCCTTAAGCCACCCATTTACCACCACCCCCTGACCCTTTGGTCAGCTTCAGCTGCAATTGCTGCTTCTTCTTCATCCTCAGCTACGTTGTAAAAGACATTGACATTTTTTTCTCTGCCCGTTTACTCACTTGCTTTTCTCTATACTTTGTTGTCGATGTTTAATGGTTTTTTATACATATTTTTTTAGCCCAATGTTGTTGTTGCTGGTAGCGACTACCATCGCATTACGTCACTTTCACTGTAGTTTGCGGCTTAAGGCAGCATTTGTTTGCCGGCATTGTTGTTGCTGGGGCTTGTTTGCACTTGTTTTTGGTACAAACAAGCAAATTGCAATAAAAATGCTCAAATTTATGGTCCACTGGCATACATATATTTTGCTTGGGATGATTTATCCGAGACTTTTGTTCGCCTTTGCTTTCCGGCGGCACAATTTATGTCCGTTTACATGGTAAACTTTTGCTGTTTTTACCAATGTTTTTTTTTTGTTCACGCGCTTTTTTCTGGTTCAAGTTCATCAGTTGGCCACTACTGACGACCGTTGAATTCGCAACTAGGTCCCGGCTCCATAGTTATCGTCTTAATAAATGCGTCGTTAAGTTAGCCAAGTTAGAGTCGTGTACATTACCAACTCATTTTGCAAATAAAACTCATCACAAGTTGATTTGTCTGAAAATATTTATCACTGTGAATTTGTTCATTATGTATACGCCATGTAAACATGGTGAACACCTACATTAAGCATACGCCCTGTTGGCTCATAGTGTATGCAATCACTGTTAGGGCATTGATCGATAAGAATCGAGTTGAAACAAAGTCATTAGTCCAGTTAACGTGGCCTGACTAAACAGCTGCGTAATGAGGCCAATTTCCCAGTTGTCAAATGTCAGCGAATATTGCCCAGTTATTTGGTTTGGTCAATCATTGAAACATTAAGTAATGCGGCCTCTGCAAAGTTTTATTTTTATGGTATTTTATAGTGCGATTCAAGTCAGCACTGTGAGTTGTTAAAATAAACCAAAAATAGTTTGTATAACTCATTCTTAAGCAGATCAAACTACGAATTGAGGAGTTCTATGGCAAAAGCTTTGTACCCGATGACATCTACGTGACCCATGAAGTAGTCAACTTTGAGGAAATCAACGTTAATGTAACAGTCCAAGTTCCCTTTCCAGGCCGACTTCTTTTGCATTGTTTTGTGAGAAAACTATCCGATCAAGTTGGTGGATCCGATCAAACGGACTTGATCCGCTTGAGAAACATGGAAGTCTGCAAACTCCTCGATTCACTTCGCAATATCACAGTGGAGGAGATTCCTGGAGAAAGCCTTTTGCCTTCGACTTTCATTGTCTCATGTCCTTTGGTGCCTGGTTTTTACTATGTGCAAAATAGCAGCATTGATTCCAAATTGGTTCCCTTTCGAATCCCTGATGGCAGATATATGGTTCTCTTGGAGCTGATACAGGTCTATGAAGAGGTTATAAAAGTAGTTTCCTGCAGGATTAAGTTTGCCATGAAGACACCCCCAGGATATCAGGAACCATCGAAGCTCAAAAGTAGTGAGGAAACGGATGAAACTACCAAAAAGCCTGATTTGGAAAAGGAAGATTCTAGTACTGAGGTTTCGCAGCCAAGCGAAGATAACTACGATGCATCCACTGATTACATATAAGAAACAAATCGGTTTTTAAATAACAATTTTGTTTAACAATTTCAATTAACAAGTTAAGTAACTTTTGTTTTGCTATTTCTTTCACAGACACTCTTCTCTTTGCATAGCTATTTCACCCACCAATGATTTCACAATCTCTGCAAATTTTTGTAATATTTCATTTAGTAAGTTTCGGGCGCGTAATAAAATTTATTATCTCCCACAATAAATTCAACAAGATTGAGACATCTCACACATGTTACAGCCACGCCCTTATAAGTTAATTGAAAGACCCAGGGGCATGGGAAATGTTTAAAAAACTTCAAATAAATCCATGCCAGACAAGCCGACGGCAAGATATTCATTTAATCTAATCTTCAACTTTGTTTTGCTATTCGATCCACACAACATTTTTCAAAAGTACAACCTTTGGAATGTTTTGAATTAAGTTGACATTGTGGCGGCATTCTCGAAAGTTCGTAAATTTACATATATAGAGCAGGGCGAATAGTTTCCGGTTTCCAGCTGCAAGATCGCGATGACTCCACGATGACTGGGCATTAAAACTTGGCCTCCGTATCGATCTCAGTTTGGTTTTTATGCTATAGCCCCACCCTAAATGGGTTCCATCGTTTAGCTTTTGTTTTATTGATACAGTGTTCCGATGTTTAGGCTTGACAGCTGTTAGAGGTGTCAAATATTTATGGATCCTATTCTCAAGTGATAATTTATTTAATGGAATTGACCGCTGATTGATCAATTTGAAAGGGGCTTTAGTGGATCATGAACTTGAAATGGTTGAGGTTACTATACAGCTTAAGTAGGCTTTTTGTTTTAAGAATATGTAATTAGACTTCCTTCTATTACAAACTTCATATTATTTACTTCCTTGTTTGTTTGTAAATATCACTCTGCTGACCGCATTTGGGGTGACCTTCAGTTAAGCGTTGTTTTCATTTACCCAGTATGATTATTATTTAATCAGCGATCAACTTCTTCAGTGGCTTAGCGGAGCAAACAAAAGATGCCACCAAAAAGCCAAGTAAACAGGGCGGCCTGGTTTCGGTGTTTTGGTTTTCGGTTCGATCGCTGAAAAAGCTGTCCAAAAAAACACCTGCCCCAACAGACCACGCCCCTTGAGGCTGCTTTTAACCACGTTTTTTCATGTCAATACTTCTTTTTCGCTTACCGTCTTATTTATGCGTCGTCTTTTGTTTATGTATCGTTCATTTGTCCTCTTCTCCATTGCAGATTGCAGTTTACACATGGCATTATCATCGATGGTCACCAAGAGTTCGGCTATAAAAAGCCCTGATCGCAGATGGAGCTAGGTGCAGTCGTTTTTTGGATTAATCAGTGTAATCATCTACCCAGCAGAAGCAACCATGAAATACCTAGCCCTGGTGAGTTTATGGATTTTACTACATTAAGGATTCAATATAACCAAAAAAGTGGCTTTTAATTTAATGTAAAAATATGAATATATGGAGTTTTTTGATCTCCCCTTTAAGCTCTAGAAATTTCTTCGAAGTCTATAATTTGAAATTATCCGTTTTCAGACTCTTTTTGTGTGCCTTGTGGCCATTGCTCTGGTGTCTGCTGTGCCCGTAGATGAATCCCTGATCGGAGACAATATCTACCAGCCAGCCTTCGATGATGTGCAGCGACCACAGGATCCTCAGGCCATCTTCAAGCTGAAGAAGCTACTCAAGCTCAAGAAGCTCCTGGGTTAGGAAGCCATTTTCCGCCAGTCCATTAAGCGCAGTTCAGATTCTAGTCCAACTAATTGGGAGCCTTGCCTCCCCTTTCCGTCTTTTGTATTCGGTTTTTCAACACGTTTTGTTTAGACAATTCATAAGCACACACACAGAAGCACACAGCACATACATACAAAAAAAGTATACGTAATCGTAACTAAAATAAATGTAATTTTCATACAATATGGTTTTCTTATGTCATCGGTACTTGGATGGAATCTCCATCTTTGTCCAAAAAGGAGCTAATGACTGGCAGCGGGTCGAGTTTTTGTGTGCCAAGATCTGAATGGGAAACCAGTTGCGGTTCGTTTCTGGGGAGAGAGTGTGAAAAGCGAATGGAATCTTCCTTAAATGCGAACGTTGGCCAATCACTGTCCTACATTAGTAAAAAGCCGACGGTGTGCTAATACAACTACGAGATTAATGGGCTATGCTTTTTATCAATGTTTTTTCATTGATTTATTTAATTGGTAATCATTAAAAGGTATATATTTTTAGATTGTGTCTAACAGGTTTTGTTTTAGTAAATAACATATTTCTAATATGGTTCTTATTCTGTTTCAATCTACTATATGATATGAGTCCATAGAGTCAGTTCTTATAGGCTGCTTTAAGAACTACCCCGCAATCAGCCATCAGTTTGACTTAATGTTTTGAAACTTTTCCTTTACCAACCGTTAATGAATTTGTAAATTATTTTCCTTAAAGAAAAAATTATATTTTTATATAATAATTTCCCAATTTTCATCGTAGAACATTTTCAGTTAAAAGTAACTTTAAACTAAAAACATAATATTTTGCATTTCTTCAATGGTTTCCCAAAGAAAAGACTGAAGAAACGAACTTTATTCATTTCTCGCAAAATATTTTCTTCGCCAAATAATTTTACATTTTCATTTTTAATAGTAAAATGTAATGTAAATAAATATAATGTGCCCCTAAAATCATTTTTAAAAGTCTCTATGACAAATTCCATAGAGGGTCCAACCTTAGTTCAGAGAAAATCAAAGTTTTGTTACCAAATACGTTTTTTAATTTTTTTTTCTTTTGATCTTAAAAATCTAAACACATAGTTAAGCTAAAAATCCATGTATGGGGAATGATGATGTCTAGCCCAGGAACAAGAGCTTCTTGAGCAGCTTCAGCTTGAGCAGGAAGGACTGGTCATCGGAGGGGTTGATGGACTCGCTGCCAGGACCCTCAAGGCCCTCGGGAATGGCCTCCTCACGGGGAGCAGCACTGGTAAGCATGAAGCACACGGCCAGGCAAAGGAACACACTCTGAAAATAAGTATTCCATAGTCAGTAATGTTGGACTTGCTGGTAATCCATTGGGTTTTAGAGACGCACCAGGAGCAAGAACTTCATGTTGACTGTGTTGGGCTGGAGATGTATGATCGATCGATGAATTCGCACTGCGCGTTGACAGACCTGCTTGCACTGATAGCCAGACCCCGCCGACCCGTCTATTTATATGCCAGTCAGTTGAGAGTGACTTGTTCGGCCGGCAGACCGCTCGTCTTTCATAGAAATTAAAACAACTCAAGATTCAGTGATTCACGAGTCCGTGGGGGAGGGGGAAATCAATTTGCTTGGACTATTAAAAGTGATTTTAGCCCAACACGCATGTGGAGCATTGCCGATAACAAAAGGCTGGTTCCCCTTTTTTTGGCCAAGTCTACTAAATTATATTTGTGGTTCCATTGTTGGATTTTCAAGCCTAATGTTTGGTCAATTTGTTGACTTGTGGTTTGTACGGCAATGCTTCTTTTTGCTAATCGGTGTTTCCTTGGTTCTGGGTTCTATTTGAGTAGGCCATTAGCTGCGAGCGGATTCCCTGCTAAATATTAATTAGCATCTTGACATTGGCCTTAGCCATTAGTTATTTGTTCACACCTGCATAATAGGCTGGCGTAGCAGAAGCGACCGAAAATAGTTACCACGCATATGTGGATGGTGGAAATCATTAAAACGAGTGCCGCTCAAACAAAATAAGATTTGGCACTTTGAAATTAAACCGACGTTTTTCGCCTTGCCAACTGATAATTGTATTTTACTGTGTAAAAGAGATGTAAACTACGATTTGTGAACATGTCAAGCCCTTCTGTTCATGTAATATATAAAACCAAAGTAGACCATCTGGCAACACCATGGAACACCATAAATGTAAATCAAACTAAATCGGAATTTAAAAACAATATATTTTTAAAATACATTTAAAAAAAGTCTGTTAAGAAAAGAATAAATTTTTTAAATCATAAATGTATATAGTATCTCCTTATTGGCCGTTACGTTTTATTCTTCCGTTGGAAGACTTACATTTCAAATTCTTTTGATTCAAAATAAATAACTTTTATCGATAACAGGAGTTCCTTGTCTGAACCTATCGAATCGAATTTAATAAGAACTAGTTCTTTAAGTACGAAAACATAAATACATATAGGAATAAAGAAAACCAAATTAGACAATATATAAGTTAGTGAATCACGGTCAAAGCCAAATTCAAAGTTAGTCCATACCCACTCACATACCTACAGGAAGAGATTTAGCAAAAACAATGACGGGATCATTCAGTGTCAAGCTCAAGTCCAAAAAAGGTCAATTCATTGTCAACGACCTAAACGAACATACGACGCTGGGGGAACTGAAAACGAAAATAGTCCAGGCCACCGCCATCCAAGCACCCCAGCTACACGTTCTCGTGGGCTATCCCCCTAAGCCACTGGACCTTTCGCAGCAGCAGGAGCAGCGCGATCTCAAGACGGTTGGCATTAACAGCGGCGAAACACTGATTGTTGAGGAGAAGGCTGCTCCTGCACCCACTGCCACTCCCATTGTGCCTGGAGCTTCCACGATGGCGGATGATGAAGCGCTGGCGCGTCGTCTGCAAGCCGAGGAGGAGGCACAGCTCCTGGAGGCAACCGGAGGCGCTCCTGCCCAAGCGTCCGAACTCCTTTTACCTGCGGCGCCCACGGAAAGCGGGCCTAACGGTGACTTTAACGGTATCCTACTTAAGAAGGTAGTGCCGGCAGACAATTCGTGCCTCTTTACCAGCGTCCGTTTCGTCCTCAATGGCAAGGTGGACAACGAGGGCAGCGAAATGATGCGCCATATTATTGCCCAAGAGGTGGCCGCCGATCCGCAGAGCTACAACGACGCCGTGCTCGGCAAGTCGAATGCTGAGTACTGCGCTTGGATACAGAAGGCAGACTCATGGGGTGGCGCCATCGAGGTGTCCATACTGTCCAACTACTATGGCATCGAAATCGATGTCGTTGATATCCAAAATGCAATAATTAATCGCTTTGGCGAGGACAAAAACTTCGGACTACGTGTCTTCCTGCTTTTCGATGGCATCCATTATGATCCACTGTATATGGAGACCTCGCAGAGTGCTGCACCGGCAACTATTTTCCCCGTGGAGGAACTAGGCGTCTACCAACAGGCCGAGCAATTAGCCAACGAGGCGCAGTCCTCCCGCCAATACACCAATGTAGACAAGTTTACACTGCGCTGCATGCAATGCGATGTGAGGTTGGTTGGCCAGGTGCAAGCCCAGGAACACGCCAAGCAAACCGGACACCAGCGCTTCGGAGAGATTTAATACGTCCTGATCTTCGGCACCGTCTACATTGTGGCTTTCATGCTGTTCGCCTACTACCTGCTCACCACCTAGCCACAATCGCCGTGCGAGGAGTCATCTGCAGTAGCTAAATTGTACTACCTCCACATCACCGCCTACATAAGTTATTGATTAATGAACCCAGCCGCCTGTATTCATATAATCCCTCTTTAATCCCTTTCGGAACGCAATAAAGTTTACACCTTCATCTACACTAGAATAGGTTTCGGAATCAGTACTTATATTCAATGCTAGGAAGCCCAGGGCGGGGTCATGGCAGCCGGATTCTGGAGGTAGGACATCACCACAGCGCTGACACTCAGCATGAAGGAGGAGAGCACTTGCTTGGCGTCGTCGCTGGCCCTGGAACTGGCGAAACTGATGCACGAGCAGTACAGTGCAAACCAGGCACACCATTTCAGCTAATTCGAAAATAAACAATGATAACTGCCAGGTCATTTGGTTGTAATCTTTTGGTACAATACCTTCATCATCAGACCACACATTGAGAAAATCATGCCCAGTATATTCATGTAATCCGGCATCATATCCTCGTTGGCACCGCCACTTTGCCCTTGGTTCTTGGGCGCCTTGTACCGGTTAATCTTATCTTTGCGACGCGGGTCCACGTTCATGTTTAATTTATTTTATTTAATTTTCACTAATTTAATCTGAAATCAGGTCAGATTGCAAGGGCCGAATGCGTGGAATGTGACTGCCAGTAAATTTTGTGTCTTTATTGTGTGAATGGTATTTTAAACCAGGTGGCAGCACTATCGCGCCAGCTGTTTCTTTATTTACACCGCCGCGGCAAGCACGTTTGAAATAGTTCTTTAATTACATAAAAATCACAGAAAGTTGCAATAGATAATATGGCTCTGCGGTTACTCAGCCGTTCAATGGCCTCAAGTATGCGTGGCTTGCAATTAAACGCCACTAAGAGGGGGTTAAATGGTTATAACATCAATCGTTCTGTGGTTTCCCCTACATCCTTGTCATGGTTACAGAATCGGGTTCTGCACGTGAGGATTACGGATCAGGAAGCCGGTTTACAAACCAAACGAGAGGCCAACAGGAAGCACAACCCTTTTCGCGAAGAAATCCATGAAGAACCTATCACAGAAGCACCTAGGGAGAGACAAAAATTTAGATCAGAAAAAAAACCCAAAGAGAAGTCGCCCGAAATGGTTCAGGACTTTGGGGATCCAGATACTTTTGGCGATGCCAAATTTATTCAGACTGAAGACCCTGGAGATGTAGAAGAAGAGGAGTTCATTAAGAATTCCACACGGCGTTCTAAAAAACTGCAGACTGTGGAATATGCACGCCTGATCAAGGATCATCTAAAGGCAAACCGCCTGAATGAGGCCATTGCGGTGCTAGAACAAAAGATGCTGCGAGAGGATCGCGCTAAACCGGACAAGTACATATACAACCTGCTGATTAGCGGTTGCGCTAAGGCGGGATACACGCGCAAGGCTTTCACCCTATACACCAAGATGAGGCAACGGGGTCTTCAAGTTACCGGTGGAACCTATACATCGCTGTTCAACGCCTGTGCAAATGCTCCCTCCTTGGGCGATGGTCTGGCCAAGGCACAAATTTTGCGCGAGAACATGCTAGAGAAGGGATACGAACCGAATGTAAAGAACTACAATGCCATGATCAAGGCCTATGGAAGATGCGGAGATGTAGACACCGCCTACATGCTGGCCGACGAGATGATGGAGCGACAGCTGGACCTAAATGCAGACACATTTAACTTTCTCCTTCAGGCATGTGCCAGCAACTCAGAACACGGCTTCCGGCATGCTCTGCTCACCTGGCACAAGATGTTGCAACGAGGAATCAAACCGGACTACTATAGTTTTAATGCGATGTTGAGATGTGCTAGGGATTGTAACTTCGGTGATTTGGATTCGATGCGTGAGGTTCTCGATCAAATTGCTCCGGCAGCAGCGGGAAAAAAACAAACTCTTCAGTTGGAGGATGGGCAAAAAGATGATTTGCCTACCATATCTTCTAGCAACACTTCCTTGCCTTCCCAAATTGAGGTATCCACAACAGCAAGTGAGCTGGAACTTCCAAATCTTTTGCTTCCTCGTCCCCATTTGGGCAGTTTGGTTGCATTGGAGGAGGTGACACGTCCGCATGAGCGCTTTTTGTTGCTCGGCGGCCTTACTGGTTTTCTAGAACACATGAAACAGCACAACATCACACCCGATATCGAAGCATTTACCACAATGCTGGAGGTGATACCGCCAACAAACGCCGCAGAAAAACAGCTTCTCACTTTTGTGCGAAAGATTGGTCTTAAAGCGGACATAGACTTCTTTAACATACTGATCAAAAAGCGTTCAATGCGTTTTGATTACGAGAGTGCTCGAGAAGTGCTCACCATGATTCGCACAGCGGGATTGCGTCCGGATATTGTCACCTACGGTGTCCTCGCTTTAGGTTGTCGTACTCAAGAAGAGGCAAGGGAACTGCTGCAACAGATGCAGTCAGCCGGGATAAAGATGAACATGCCTATTCTGGGTGCAATGCTGCGGCAGGGATGCGCCAAAAAGTCCTTCACCTACATTAACGAGATCATTCAGTTAAGTTTGGAGGAGAATATCAAACCAAATGAAACCTTTCTACGCCATTTGCACAACTTTCACAGGGGATGTGCCAGAGCAATTGATGCCAGGGTAAGGTTAGCCTTAGATCACCAAAGCAAATAAATTGATTGTATTATTATCTAGCATCCCTCAACAAAGACTGCCGCCTTCAAGAAGGGACACTCCAAATTCTGTGATAAATACCGCTTGTACTACGAGGAGTTGGGATTAGCTGGTCTCAAGCTGGAAGATGCCATCGCCAAGGTGAAGGAGCGTCCATATGAGCAGTATAAGCTACCATCCGTAAAAGGAATGGAACCCCTTAAGAACGATCATCTCAAGCACAAAACGAAACAGCGGAAGTACATCAAAAAGATCAAGATAAATGAACTACGAGATGACCCGCCAAAAGAGCCTTTAAAAAGTATAGAATAAGTCTAAAAGTATAACTCTCATTAAAGTTTATTATTTGTTAACCAATCATGGTCCGTTTCCGACCTCGGGCTCTCACCTCCTCAAATTTGGAGAGCACAGCATGTTGGTCGTTATCGTTAGTGCGATATTCGGATAGGATTTTCTCAAAGAGGTACGGCTGTTCGCTGTGGGTGCTTAGTAGCGCTCGCTCCAGCACGTAGAGGTCCACACCCTTGTCCTCTGTGGCCTGATTGTAGTGGCTTAATCCGAAATCGATCAGTATCACGTCGTAATGACAGCCGTTAGGATTGATGAGGATATTGGAAGTAGTTAGATCGCCATGTATAATGTTGTTGGAGTGCATTCTCCCAATGATATGACCTATTTTGGTGCATAACTCAAGTAGAGATGTCTTTGCGTTATCCTCGCCCTGTGTTGCAACTGTTTCCAGAATAAATTGCTTGGCTGTTTTGGCTTTGTCAAAGTATTCCATATACAGTTTGTGGGTGTTGAGGTCAGAATTCAGAATCTTAGGGGCCAGAATTCCTGCGGCCAGACATCGTGCCGACGCCTTTGCCTCGGCTTTCATCCGCTGCCGCGTGATCTGGGTGTCTAGTTCTGGGTGTCGATACTTCTTCACGAATCGCTCCTTAATTAGACAGGCTTGTCCTTTAAAATCGCCTAGGTATAGGCGCCCTTCGGCTCCTTGTTTAAGGATTTCCACAGACATTTTCTTATGCGGGTAATAACAAGCCGGTTAGCTATTGACTGAAAGTGGCAACTCTAAACATGGGCGTTGGGAAAAGGGATCCGTGAACGCCCAAAGTTAAAACTGAGATATATAAATTCAAGATATAAAAAGAGCAGCTTAAAAAGGTGTTACAGCTATTAATAATTGAATTTTTTTAGATTTAAGTATATCAAAGAACATACTACAATTTAAGGTTTTCACCTGCGTCCGTTAAATTTGATATTCACAACGAAACGCATGCGAACAGCTGGCAGCTGTTTGCTTTTTTGATATTTACACCGATAGCGCCAATCCAACGTCCGAGTGATTCATCATCAGGAAAACCCATCACAACATCATCAGAAATCGAGGAGCTACGTCTAAATTCGCACAAAATTCGAAAATGTTTAACAATCTGTTCGGAAAGAAGCCCACCGTGAAGGAGCAACAGCGAGAGAATGACCGATCGCTGCGCAAGGCTACAAGAGACATCGAGCGAGAACGAAGAAAAATGGAAGAGGAGGAGCGCAAGCTGGAGCTGGAAATCCGGAAAAATGCTGCTGCTGGAAACAATGATGCTTGTCGTATTCTGGCTAAGCAACTAGTTGAGATCAGAAAACAGAAGTCGCGTACCTACGCAGCTACAGGAAAAATCCAATCCATTGGCTACCAGAACAAGAACATGGGCGCCAATATCGCTCTGAGCGAAGCCATGGGTACCACTGCCAAAACGATGGGTGCAATGAACAAGGTCATGCGACCGGAGGCCATTGGGGAAACAGTTCGCCAGTTCCAGGCGGCTAACATGAAGATGGAAATGACCGACGAGATGATAAACGATACACTGGACGACATGCTGAACGAGTCCGGCGATGAAGAGGAGTCTAATGCAGTGGTCAACAAGGTGCTCGACGAGATCGGCATCGAAATTTCTGGCAAGATGTCCAGCATCCCGGCCACGGGTACCTCAGATTTCGAAACGAGCGGCAAGCGCACCGAGAAGGACATTGCAGATCAGTTGGCCAAGCTACGCTCTTCTTAGTCCTTAAACATATGCTATTTTATATTATAATTACTGTGAACACAGCTGTTATCCATAGCCAGTAAGGAAATATATTTATGTACACCGCTTACAAACGAGCAGACATCCCGCCTCCGGCAACAATGGACTCGCCCGTAATGTATCCCGCATCCTCAGAGACCAAAAAGGAGACAACGCCGGCCATTTCTTCACTGGTGCCCAGGCGACCCATTGGAATTTTGCTCAAAGCCGCTTCATTTGCCGCCTCGTCCTCATACAGAGCTTTGGAGAATTTTGTCTTGATGACGCCAGGGGCTAAGCAGTTGACACGGATGCCCTCGGGTGCGAGGTCTTTGGCAGCCGCCTTGGTCAAGCCAATCAGAGCAGTTTTGCTGACGGAATATGCGCCAAGTAGCTATGAGATTAAGGTGGAGTAGATAAGCTTTGAACGACTGAACCGTAGATAAGGTTACCAACCTCAAAGGCATCATAACCAGCAATGGAGGAGACGAAAACGATGCTGGAATCCTTCTGTTGGCGAAGGAGAGGCAGTGCTTCTTTGGCCAGAAGGTAGGAACTCTTCACATTCACATCGAAGATCTTGTCCCATACCTTCTCGTCGCACTCCAAGACTCCACCTACTGCAGGGTTGGTGGCAGCATTGCTGACCAGAATATTAAGCTTTCCAAACTTGCTGATGGTCTCCTCGAAGAGCTGCTTTCGGTCTTGGGCATCGCCTACATGGCACTTGAGTCCATGAGCATTGAGGTTCAATTTTCGGAGCTCCGCCAGAGCAGAGTCCACATTCTTTTGCTTTCGACTGCTGATGACCACCGAAGCTCCATCTTCGGCCAGCCTTTTGGCAATGGCAAAACCAATGCTGGAGAGATTCAACCAGGATTAAAGGAAGTCACCTTAAGCAGTTTCCACTGATCTTCTTACCCATCTGTGGAAGCGGTAACCACTGCAACTTTTCCTGCTAAACGTTTCATCGGGACGACGTTCGAAATATGACTAGTGCTAGACAGGCGTTTGTGGCATTGATTAAGATTAGGGCCAACAAGTTTTGGGCTGTAATTGTTGCTGTTTTGATCGAGACTTGAACTTTGACCACTTCCACTCACAGCGCAAGCGCTCAAACGGATCTTCGGCGCCCTGGCCACCAGTTGTTTGCCCAAATGGAACATTTTTAGATTTACCTAGTTAACAAAGATGTAAGAATTCGTTGCCTAAGAATTGATTTTCCCTATTTTATTTACTATGGGCGCAAATCTCCAACTTGTTTACTAATTCTTCTTCTTTCAAACTGTTTGCCATTCACAGTGGCGCTAAAAGCTTTAACTTTAATGGCGCCAAATTTAAAAATTTAATAAAGCTTTTTTTCCATTTTTTTACTAATCGCAAGATAAACAAATAACCCAAATAATAATAATAGGGCTTAAAATACAAAAAATATCTCAAATTGTTACTCCATTTAAAACAAATCACACATTCCCATGTCATTGGCAGATAAGAATTTTTGAAAAGAAAATCTTATACGAAGATAAACGCTCCGTTTCGTAATAATATAAACAAAGATAAATAAGTATGACAAACAAACCGCGAAAAGAGAGTGAATTGCTTGACATAATGGAGTGTTTTTGGTTCCAAAACATATATGTGACTTTAGACCAGACGGCGGCAAGTGCAAATTAATAAGCGATCGCAGCGGCTTTAGGTTTACCCTTCGGCAGATCTGAATTCACTATAGACGTAGTCGTCGACGGAAGCAGTAGTCTCTGGTTTTCCGACTCAATCCGGCACGCGCTTACGGCTTTGTTAGATAGTTTTCGCAACCGTCGGCAAGGCATGTGATATAAGAAAAGCCCTTATGCTAGTAAAAATATAAACTACTAACTTATTAAAAAATAATACAATAATTTTAAATAAAAATAACAAAAATGAGTAGCCAGGCCAAAGAAATCGAGGCTCTGCCGCCCACTGTCCAGGACTTCAAGGCTCCTGATCTTCCGGACAACAAACCAGTGCTCTTCTTTCATCCGTACAACTTCCATGCGCAAAAAGTTAGTAACCGCTTTTATCATGTGATCTTTGAAAAAACTACCTGCCCAACCAGATCCATCGGCTAATGCCGCGAAATTACAAAACTAATGATTGTTAGTGGAACTCGTCATCATTGCTAAATTTTGATGTAATAATGGGGTGCCCCCGCCGTGAAGGTTCTCCGCCTACGATCTTCATTAAATCTCCCTGCTCTCGGGTGCAATGGAGCATGACTTGGCGGGTAGCATGTGGAATGTATAGGAGTTATCTAGATTTTGGACTGGGGTCTAGATTATGACAGCATAGGATTGATTTATACACTGTTTACCTAGCTACTGCAGGTGCTAATGAAGCGGATTGAGTGAAAAAAAAACAAAACAATATAAACGCAAAAATAAACAAACCTCAAAAGAATCTACAGCAGCAGAACGTATGATAATAACTGAAGCGAAATAAATTAAAATTACATTTTTGTTATTAAATGTTAGTATATAATTAAATGAAGCAATATATTTTAAACAGAATCTGGGAAAAAACCAATGTCAAATTAAGTTTTCAATTTGTTTATATCGCAGTAAAGATTACAAAAAATCACAATTATAGTAATGTTACAAATATTTTTATTTATATATAAATGAGCTAACGAATTTACATTAATCTGAAAACCACAAACTTCCCCTTTTAGACTTGTAATTCATTACATCTATCATCGAAATTTATAATATAAGCAAGAAAATCGGTAAAAATAAACCATAATGATTTCCTTCCAATTCTCCCTCAGGTTCTTATGGTCTTCTATGAAAAGAAAATTGATTTCTTTCCCTATGTGGTAGACCTGTGCAATGGCGAGCAGTATTCCAATTGGTTCCTGAACTTAAATCCTAAGGGCGATGTGCCAGTGCTCCAAGATGGTGCCTTTGTCATTCCCAGCTCGTCGCACATCATCAACTATGTGGAGAGCAAATTCCGCGGAGGTGAATAAAACCAAGGAAAACCATAGAAATCTTTTTAAATTATTCCATTTCAGGATCTAATCTTTCACTGAAGCCCCCGCACAACTCCAAGGAATTCGACCAGATGTTGGTCTTTGAACAAGCCATTGCTCGCCTGCCGGTGGGAACTCTCAGCTTGGGTTCCTTTATGCATGATGATCTAAAGCTGGTGCCCAAGGCGCCTTTCATAGGACCCGTGCGTCAGTCCTGCCTGAGTAAGATACTCAACCTTTATCTGCTTCCTAAACTTAGTATTTATATTCCCCACAGAAAACAACGAAAAGGTTTTAGATCTGCTGCGTCACTCCGTGGACGATCATTCAACCAACAAAGCAGCACTGCAGCACAAGCTGGACATTCAAGTGCGTCGGCATGAATTAGCCTCTTCCCGTGAAGAGTTCCAAAAAGTTTTAGATGCCGTACGCCACTTTCTGCTGTACGTGGAGCAGGAGCTATCAGCTCAGGCACCTCGAAGTGAGTGGCTAACCGGAGACGAACTAAGCGTAGCTGATATCTCGCTTGGACTTCTGCTCTATCGACTGTACCAGCTAGGATTCGAGAATTACTTCTGGGCCTTTGGAAAACTGCCACAAGTGGAGGCCTACTTCCTACGTTTCCGACAGCGCGAATCCTTTCACCGCCTGCAGCCAAGCAACTTCGCCATTCTGCGTGAGATGTGGATGCGGACCCCGGGAAACTATAAGCTAGGAGCGGGAGCGGGCTTCCTGGGTATGGCCATGTTCGCCGCCTTCGCGCACAAGTGAGCGGAGGAACGGGACACCAGACTTTGTTAACAAATCCTTTTACTGTTAAAGTTGGGCACATATAAACACACGAACATAAGAACGCTTAAACCTACGCACTGCTGATGAAGGATGCTGGGGGTGTCATGGTAAGATTCCGGCAAAGGAGGATGAGGAGCAGAACGCAATCCAGTGCCAGCCTCGGCTGCTTAGTAATATCATTGTTACATCATTTCATCGTCGCTGAATACAAAAATTTGGTATCAATTCCAATCCATCACCTTATTATTATCAATTCCTGCTATGCTTGATGGCTGTTGCGATTGCTTGACGGACCGTCCAGAGCTCAGCTCTCCAGCGTCTGCTGTTCGCGTTCCCTTTCCCGTCTTTGCTGCTCGGCTACTAGAAAATTGGCCGCTGCATTGGCCGCCTTTGGATTGGTGAACAGGGGCATTCCCATGAAAGTGGGCATCTGCTGATCCCTAGGCACACCCGTCGCTCCTGCCTTGCCATTGACGTTCGTCCTCGAGTTGCTTGCTCCCGAATTCGTGACTGTGGCTCCCGTTCCTAAATGCGAGGGACGCTTGAAGGGGAAGGTAGGTATCTCGCGTTGGTAAGTAAAGCTTCCACTACCAGGCGCATCCGGCAACAAACCGGGAGTGGGATACCAAAAGCGATAGGTAAAGTACCATGTGAGTATGGCAATAATTCCGCTGATCACCTTTTCGATCATGCGATGGTAGTACAGCATAGTGCCCACCAGCATTATGTCCCACAGCAGCTGCAGGGCCGCCATGCCGATGAACAAAGTGCGAATGATGGGCGTCAGGCGCTTGTACAAGAACTGCAAACTTCGCATTTGCTCCTCGTTTAGGGTTCTCAAAGGATTTGTCCCAGAGTTCTCGGCTGAGTTGCGATTGTGACGTTCGTTGCGGATGTGTTCCTTGATGGTCTCCCAGCGGATTATAGGACGCGCCTCCTCGATCAACACCAGGCTGGAGTGGATTAGGATAAAGGCGTGTCCGGATATATCGAAGCCCTTCCACAAATGTCCCGCCTTCAGACAACTTGATTTGCTTAGGTAGCCTGGAGTTACAGTGTTTTGTTAATCGTTATTTTCTTATAGTCCTATTTAGAATTACCTTTTGTAGTGCAGCGTCCGTAGGAGTTCTCCACAACGTTGAACAACTTCGTCCAGAAGAACCAAAAGAATGTGGCTATGACGATGCGTGGGAAATGGTGCCGCAGCATTCGTTTGTGGTCACCACAGGTGATCGTATAGGCGGAGAGCACAAGGAAGGGCACTACGAATAGTAGAGTCCAACCCCAGCCCACCTTGACAAAGTACTGGTTGAACAGGTTGTCCGATCTGGCAAAGTAGGTCTTTGGGAAGGGTACGAAGTCCCCGATCACGGAGATCACGAAGAGACTGCCTAGATACAAGGCAACCTTCAGGTCCGTGTTGAAGAATATGGTCTTCTTGCACAGGTGAATAACCCCCATGACGAGGATTTCGCGGATACTAGTTGGGGCAGCTGTGGGTCTCGTTCCCCGGGCCTCCGCCCGGGTTATATCGGGTCCTCCGGGTCTGAAGTTCATGTTGGAGCCAGAGGGAGAACTTCCAGCATTGCTGCCCAAATTGGGCCGCAAAGGTCGTCTCTTTGTTGCCATCGCTGGACTTTTTTCTTTGTTTCAAAGGTTGTCAATCGAAAAGTGCGTTGTTTTCTTCCGTTTTTGGTTATACTGCAAGCAAAGAGAAAGTGAAAGCGGAAGAACTGTACGTGTCAAAGTTCAATGCCAGATAAACTGACTAACCTGAGTTGAAACAGTGTAAATGCTGTCACATTAGCTTAACTGATTCATTTACTCAATTTTTATCCAGTTTAATTACCCACCTTCGTTGTTCTTGGTGGTAATGTTGTACTTTTTATTATGGCTAAAATGTACGTGTTGCGCCTGTAAAAAATAGAACAGCTGCAGCTGGTGTCAACGCTACCAAGTGAATGGCAGTACTCCACTCTGATTGGAATTGTACGAGCACCTTGGCGAATAGCATGCCGATCAGCTGTGCAAGTCTGAGATTTATGTCGAGCGTTTTTAATTGCCGGTTTTAATTAAACTGCGGCATGTACAACTCGGCCAAACAGCTGCAGCGCGTGCTGACAGCCCGCGAGATTCGTAAGACCTTTCTGGACCACTTCACCGTTAGCCATGGGCATAAGTTTGTGCGCTCCAGCCCGGTGGTTCCCTTTTGCGACCCCACCGTGGCTTTCGTTAACGCGGGCATGAATCAGGTGAGGTAACAGGTCCATTAAATGCCATTGTTTGCTTGTTTATTCGATGGTTTCTATTCTAGTTCAAATCGGTTTTTCTGGGCACAGCAGCAGCACCTTATAAGCGGGTAGTTAACTCCCAAAAATGTATCCGTGTCGGTGGAAAACACAATGATCTATCTGTGGTGGGCACGGATAGCTATCATCACACCTTCTTCGAGATGCTTGGCAACTGGTCCTTCGGGGATTACTTCAAGGTGAGTTTTTAAAGCATACCCTTATAACTATTTCATTTTGATTCCTTTACTTTCACAGCGGGAAGCCTGTGCTATGGCCTTGGAGCTTCTCCGCGGTCCCTACAACATTGATCCAGGTCGCCTTTATGTTACCTATTTTGCTGGCGACAAGGTGCTTGGTATTCCTGCTGATCTGGAATGCTTTGAGATCTGGAGGAGTCTAGGGTATAGCCAATTACATAACTGTAAGGTGTATATTTTAAGTATTCCTTCATTGCAGATTTCCCGCCTCGCGTATCCTGCCTTTTGGCTGCGCAGACAACTTCTGGGAAATGGGAGCCACAGGGCCGTGTGGTCCCTGTACCGAAATCCACATAGATCATCGCCCAGATCTGGGAAGCGTTGAGCAGCGCGCCAAGTTAGTAAATGCAGGTCGCTCCGATCTTACAGAGCTATGGAATCTTGTCTTCATACAGTACAATCGGTAAGGGTTTACTTCAGAATATAATGTATTCCTATCTTAAAGGTTTCCTTATATTTCTAGCCATGCCGATGGCAGCATCTCTCAATTACCCGCCCATCATGTAGACACCGGAATGGGTTTTGAGCGTTTGACAGCTGTGCTGCAAAATAAGTCTTCAAACTATGATACGGATTTGTTTACGCCAATCTTCGATGGCATCCAGCAGGTGGCAAAGTCTCCGGTTTACAGTGGAAGTTTTCCAGATGGTGGAAATACAGCGCTACTTGACACCAGCTATAGAATATTAGCGGATCATGCTAGAATGGTCACTGCCTGTTTGGCCGATGGAATGCTTCCGGATCAGAAGTGAGCTTGGTTTTCTTAGTTTTTATGTTTCTTATTTTAATCCACGTAATATTTCAGTCAAAAACTGCGTCGGGTGTTGCGGAAAGCTCTCAACATTTCGGAGCACGTTTTTGTTCATGATAAATTGTTAACCCAACTAGTTCCTATTGTCGTTGAGACTCTGGGCGAAGCTTATCCAGAGATGTCAGCAAAGCAGCAGGCAGTAATTGACTTGATTAACCACGAGCAAGAGGTGTACAAGAATCTGAGAGAAAGTTCTTCCAAAGCATTTGCAGAGGTGCTCACAGAATTTCCCAATCTTGATGATATAGACCTAATGGAGTGCCCAGGATTCGTGCCCGCCTACCGAGAGTTCCAAGTGCAGCGCTGCAAGTTCCCAAATAACACCATACCAGGGGATTTCCTTTACAAGCTGACGGATACCTATGGTCTTACCGAAGAGAGCTTTCTTAAGCTGGCTGAATTGGAAAACATGAACTGTGACCTGGAGCGGTACAGAGCTGAGGTCAGCCTGGCAAAGATGAAAACCAAGGGCATTCAACGAGATGGCGTAGGAGGATCACTTTGTGATTTGGCCAATGAACAGCTCATTGCAGAAGCCCAGGCGAAGCTAACAAAACGCCTAGAGCCCACCGACAATAGTCACAAATATGCCTACTCTTTCGATAAAGAGAGTGATTCATACCAGATACCTCCTCTAAAAACTACTGTATTGGGAATGCTTCTCAACGATGCGGAAGTTTCGAGAACCCAAGGCAGTCGTATACAGGAACCCTCCACTGACCTAATATCCATTGTTACCGCAGCCAGCAATTTCTACTATGAATCTGGTGGTCAACAATCGGATGGCGGAAAGATCTTTGTCAGCAACAATCACGAGCCAGAGCATCCTTATACACTCAATGTGATTAGTGTGAAGCATCTCAACGATTGCGTGGTTCATGTCTGCAAATTGTCCAGCCCTACAGATGCTTTTGAGCTTGCCATTGGAGATGAGGTTGAACTGCAGGTGGATGTCCAGCAGAGGCAACTCAACACATGCCATCATACAGGTGAGTTATAAAATTTTACATATGACAGATATAATAAATCATCAAATTTCAGCCACTCATCTGCTAAATGCCGCCATCCGCTCGCTTTTTAAGAAGGTTACCTACCAGGTTTCTAGTTCCGTGACCAGCGATCAGTGCAAATTGGAGCTGGGACTGCTAGGGAAACGCATCCAAAAGAGCGATGTGCAGCTTATTGAAGATCTAATTAAGTCAGTTAATCTTTGGTAGATCATTTCAAGATCAAATTTATTCTCTTATTCCTCTCCAATAGTCGCATTATCTGCTCTGCCACGCCTGTTCAAGTTGAATTGCTGAGTGCCGCTGAAGTTCTGCAGCAAAATGACATCACCATGGTGCCCGGCGAAGTTTATCCCGAGCAGGGATTGCGTCTGGTCAACGTGGAGAGCCCTGAACTGCACCTCAGCTCTAAGGAGTTGTGCTGTGGCACTCATGCTACCAACACTAGAGAGCTATCCTGCTTTTGTATCGTCAATTTAAAGCAAACCAATCGAGCGAGATTCGCATTCACCGCTGTGGCTGGCCAGGCGGCGGAAAATGTGTGTAAAAATGACAGAATCCCAATATAGATAGTTATTGAAGTTAATAACCCTTTTCCTGATTCTCTTTTAGGTGCTGAAAACAGCTGCCTTGCTGCGCCACCGCGTGGATCTCCTCGAGAAACAGTTCCAGACTGATAAGCTCACAAACGCCACAGAAGCGGAATTGCAAACCATTCGCCACAACATGCTGCACACGGACATTAAGCTGCCATATGCCTTTAAGATGGACACGCTAGAGCGCATCACAGAGATGCTGAAGAGAATCAAAGATTCTTCCCGCACAACACTAAAGTAAGTTTACCTTAAAACCTATTTAACTTATCTCAAATATTGTTTCTTACAGGGAATTTGTAGATGTCGAGATGCGCAATCTACTGCTGGAAAAACCATTAGACACCCACCCCTTCATCCTGCACTACATTACCAGTTCTGCTCTTGTAGAGGAGATTCCCTTGCAACGAGCCACGAAACTTTGTCAGGATCGTCCTATCCTGGTGATCAGCATGTGTGATAGCGTGGTCAAGGCGCGATGTTGCGTACCAGAAAACTTCATAACAGAAAAATTTAATGCTTCCGCTTGGCTGCAATCTTTTGCCGACACGTTTGGTGGCCAGATAGCTGCGCCTAAAGGTCAGAATCCGCAGGCCGTGTGCAACATGAAGGGCCGGAGGGTCAGCAATCTGTTCGAGGAACAGTTGGAGCAGGCAATGTCAAAGGCACACGCGTACGCTAAGCTTTATCTATAGGTATTAGTTGTGATTACCCTCCAAAATGTGCTAGCTGTAAGCTTGCCCTTTAAATGATTTCTAATGTGAGGAGCGAATAAATCGCTGAATTATTAAGTATAACTAAATGTTTAATCACTTATCACTACCAGATCATCATCATCATCATCATCCTCTTCTTCATTTTCTTCCTGATCCCGAGGCAATAGGCTCGAGTTCATCAACTCTTCAAAGGCATCCGCATTTTCGAAACTTTGATCAAAAAAGTAGCTTATGTTAGCTAAGGGCTTGACTGGCGTTGGAATTTTCTGGCTGAGACGATGCTGAATCTTGAACCGCTCCACCGGCGTCCTAGCTAACATCCTTAGATCTCCCTTTACCAGTAGATCAAAACTGTCGTCCAGTGAGAATCGTTTACTCTGCGGCAATTGCTCGATCTGTGAGAGTTCCCTTTTCTTATCCACTTCAGACTCCGCAGTTTCGTCTTCATTTCCAAGACTCATCTGCGCGAGGCGTAAACTTAAATCTTCAGCCACGGGTTCGTAATGAAGTTGGTGACCCTCGTGAGTCGTCAATGCTGGTTTAGCATTCGGATTCGATATGATACCCTTGACGATATCAGACATGTCAAACTCACAGTCGCTTTCAAGATCTGAAGGCACACACTTGGTAATGGGAGTTGAGCATTGTTGGAGCTGTGGAGCAGCAACCTTAACAGGAGTAGTCTTTTTATTAAGGCCCAGGAATTGTTGCAATGAAGGCTGATTCTCTTCAGGTTGAGCCTTTTTCTTTCTAACCACCCTTTTCGGCTTTGATTTCGTTTCATTTTCCTTGTCCTCTCCTTCTAGAGCAGTAACCTTTTTTCGACTGGTTTTTTTTGAAGGTTTTTCTTTGGACTTCAAAAAGGCAGCAACCAAATCGGGATACGCTGTCTCTAGCATGTTCAAAGGCTCAATGGTGTAATACAGTTCTTCGATTCCTTTGGGATGCTCTACTTCGAACTCGGAAATCTGTTTGTCAGGAATAAGGCCCTTGAAACAGCCGCTGGGATCGTGCCAGCGCAATTCCAAGCTCGCCACTCCTTTAACAGTTCGCTTTTTGATGATCTCAAGAGGTTGGATAAGAACTTTCTCCTGTTGTGATTGTTGGACCTGCCAGCGTGTGAGTATGGGAAAGAACTTCTGGAAGCAGTATATTTCCGGCCATTGCAAGAGATGTCCTATTTGCTTGATGAATTTAACAAGATTTGGTTGCCGCCAGTTTAGATTTAAATTTGGAATGCTGCTAGGTTCACTGAGAAACTCGGAAATGATCTCTTCGTTGGGAAAATCCGGGGATATTAATGCTTTCTTTCGCAAAGTCAACTCCGCTTTAATGGATAATCGTTGTTCTCTGAGGGAAATTTATGCATAAGCAAGTGTATATTAATGTGAAATGTATTTTCTCACTTCCAAAGGCTTTCATCGCAGCCTTTGTGGGTTCGGCAAACACTGCAGCCACTTTTCGTGTGGCTCATTGTCTTGCCAATATGTCCACAATTGCTGCAAATGGATTTGTCATCCACTCGAATCTCTAGGGCATTGTATTTATTGGTTTCCCCACGCCAGTTTCTCAACCTGCAAAGGAAGTAGTCTATTAGTCGGGTACCAGATACCTTGTTTTAGAAATTACTTGTTCAGAATCTCAGTCTCCTTGTATTTATTAAAAAGCTTCAGAACGCCATCCTTCCCAATTCCACCTATGCCATCTGGACAATAATCACATCCACAGAGCAAAGCCATCACAATGATCTTGTTTTGACCAAAATCCATTCGGGTAGTGATCTCCCGCATGTCGTATATGTCCACAGCTCCACCAGCAGCAGCCTGAGCTCCTTGGGTGGAAACTGAGAAGTTACGATAAACTCGTACTGCTCCATATGCAAAGCAATCCGAATCCTGGCTAATGACGCCATCAACTAACTAGGAATACGAATTTTATAGGATTATCATAATATACAACATAGGAATTATCCATATACTAACGCCATGCTTGTTAAGGAAAGCACAATAGGCCTCCGCCTCGCCAGGACCTTGGACGCACTGGATTCCCATAGAGAGGAGCAGCGTTTCGCATTGTTTGAGGACATGGTTAAACCTGCTGCGTCCTTTCTCACCTTTTGGAGGTTGATTTTGAGTGCATTCAGGAGAATTCTTGGGTTTAACTCCTCGAAACTGAAGTTCATTCCTTTTGGCTATCACTTGGCTCTTGAGTTTTGGTGCCACTCCTTCCAAAACGAAAACCGGAGTGACCTGCTCCCATATAAGATAACAAGTGCGAAAGAACAGGTTTCTGTGGACAGATATACATTTTAAACCAAATTTTATACACATTTCTTAAACTCACTTTAAATGATGCCTTGGATGCACAAAGTAGTCCACAACATTTAGGGATTCGCAAACCCATCCTGCCAAATCAATGGCCACTTTCTTCCCCCGCAATTCATTTATAGGCTTACGCTCACAATGGGGCGTTAGGATTCCCCATAATTCCTTAACACCCATTAAATAAAATATTAAAAGCAAAAACCGCGAAATTTCGCAACTTATTCAAACATTATATTCGATTAGAGTTGCTGATTCAGCTATATTCCAGCTAGTTTCTCCAATTTTTAAATGGATTGTCAAATGTATGTATTAAATTAAAGTATGAATAATAATTTTAAGATGTTAAAAATATAATAAAAATTGTATTCTATTTCTGCAATTTCCATCTTCAGATTTGGCTACTTCTCCAAAGCAAATTTGACAGCACTATCAGGACAGTCACTACGAACCGATAACAGTCTTTGTTTTGACAGCTGCACAACGCGCCTACGCGAATGTCCAGTGGTCAGCAGGCTCTTCCTCTTCCACATCGACGTGTCGTGTCAGTCGAAAGAAAGTCCAAAAAATATACAATTTAAGCTACCTCTGCTCCTAGCCTAGCCTAGTAAAATTCAGAAGCTGCCAGTAGTTCGTACGCCACACCACACACAACCACCACCGGCAAGATGGTTCTCGCGGATTTGGGTCGCAAGATAACCACGGCGCTGCACTCGCTCAGCAAGGCGACCGTAATCAATGAGGAGGCCCTAAATGCCATGCTCAAGGAGATCTGTGCGGCGCTTCTGGAGGCGGATGTTAACATACGACTGGTGAAGCAGCTGCGTGAGAATGTCCGAGCCGTCATTGATTTCGATGAGATGGCCGGTGGTCTTAACAAACGTCGTATGATCCAGTCGGCTGTATTCAAGGAGCTGGTAAAACTGGTGGACCCCGGCGTAAAACCTTATCAGCCTATTAAAGGCAAGGCCAATGTGGTGATGTTTGTGGGTCTCCAGGGTTCCGGTAAGACCACCACCTGTACCAAGCTGGCCTATCACTACCAGAAGCGCAATTGGAAGTCTTGTCTCGTGTGCGCCGATACCTTCCGTGCTGGTGCCTACGATCAGATTAAGCAAAATGCCACCAAGGCTCGCATTCCATTCTACGGTAGCTATACGGAAATCGATCCCGTGGTCATTGCCCAGGAGGGTGTGGATATGTTCAAGCGCGAAGGCTTCGAGATGATCATTGTGGATACTTCGGGTCGACACAAGCAGGAGGAGTCGCTGTTCGAGGAGATGTTGGCAGTGTCAAATGCCGTCAGCCCCGACAACATCATCTTCGTGATGGACGCCACCATTGGACAGGCTTGTGAGGCTCAGGCGAAGGCTTTCAAAGACAAGGTGGACATCGGTTCCGTGATCATTACTAAGTTGGATGGCCACGCTAAGGGAGGTGGTGCTTTGTCTGCTGTGGCGGCCACACAGTCGCCCATTATTTTCATCGGCACGGGTGAGCACATCGACGATCTGGAGCCTTTCAAAACGAAACCCTTCGTGAGCAAGCTGCTCGGAATGGGTGACATCGAGGGGCTGATAGATAAGGTGAGCTATAATTTGCAAATTTATTTACAACACATACTTATAACCCTCTTTCCCACAGGTAAACGAACTGAAGCTAGATGGGAACGAGGAGCTCTTGGAGAAAATCAAGCACGGGCAGTTCACTATCCGCGACATGTACGAGCAGTTCCAGAATATCATGAAAATGGGTCCCTTCTCCCAGATCATGAACATGATTCCCGGCTTCTCACAGGACTTTATGACCAAGGGCGGCGAACAGGAGTCTATGGCACGCATCAAGCGCATGATGACGATGATGGACAGTATGTCGGACAACGAACTGGATAACCGTGACGGAGCTAAACTCTTCAGCAAGCAGCCAAACCGTAGCATACGTGTGGCCCAGGGTGCTGGAGTGTTGGAGCGCGAAGTTAAGGAACTGATTGCTCACTATACGAAATTTGCGGCGGTGGTGAAGAAGATGGGCGGCGTGAAGGGCCTATTCAAGCAGGGTGACATGACCAAGAACGTGAATCCCACACAGATGGCTAAGCTCAATCAACAGATGGCCAAGATGATTGATCCCCGGATGCTGCAACAGATGGGTGGCGTTGGTGGACTCCAGAACATGATGAGGCAACTGCAGCAAGGAGCGGCGGGCGGTTTGGGTGGTCTGGGGAACCTTATGGGCGGTTTTGGTGGCAAGTGAGCCGTCGGCGTGTAAATTTAACGATTTTTATATGATTTTGTTTTCCCGCGTAGTTCGTAATTTGTTAGCCATTGTTTCCATTTGTCCAAGACCACAAAAATTGATAACCGAGGTGGTAGCGAATATGGCGTATATAGCCAACTATATAAAGACGTGCAAACAGTTAACAATTCGTTTTTTTGTACGGCTTGGCAGTCACAGTGTCAGTTTTTATAGTTTAAACAGTTTTCTGTAAACGAACTAATGGAAGTAGCAGATGCCTATCAGAATACCCGTAAGGCAGTTGAACTAGATATAAACAATAAATAAATAATATATGAATTTGTCTTTGAATGTGTTGTGTTTATTGGGAGTGAAGGAGTAGTAACTAAACGGTCTGTTTCCATTTTTAACTAAGATTCAGTTAGGGAGAGAAGGTAAGGTTTCGAAAGAGTGAAGCTGAAATACAAGAGGATATATGTGAGGGTGAATTGCCTTCCCTTTCATATGTACATACAAAAACGTAATACAGCCAAGGATTTAAAAAAATAACAAAACAGGAAACCAGAATATGTGAATCTTAGACAATGATTTTGATTCTGAGAGTTCATGACCTCTTTAGAATCTCTTGCCCTTACACATACAACGAAAACAAAAAACATCTCGCGAACAGGTGCTCAGAAAACTCGAAAAGATGTACAGGCGGCAAGTGAACCCAAAGTAAACAAGCAAACAAATGTTAATGCCTTTACTGCTATTTTTTGGGGAGGGTCTGCACACACACTCAAATGTATGCTAAGTGTGTGTGTGCACTAAGAGAAAATATGGTAAAAAACTAAATGAAAAAAAAAAACATTGTTTAGGGAATGATGTAGTTCCGGTACTACATCTGAATTTGTTAATATAATAATGAAATTTGTATACCATAACCACATTTTTTTACGCAACCATCAGAAATTCTCTTTTTCTAGTGTATTTTTTGATAAAACAACTTTTCTGTTGGGGCTGACAGCATCCCTTGCTTCCATTCCGGAAGTGGCGTCAGTTCGTCTGAGTTTTGTTTGGGGGATGGTGTGACTTCCTCTTCCTTTTTCGTTCCCTGAAAACTCCATAATCCACCCACACCCAATCCTCCAGTCTTGCAATAACAATGAAATGGCGATTGCCTGCCATAAAAATGTCTATTAAGCTGTCAAGTTTTGACACTCGTAAAACCATCAAACAAGTCAAACGAACAGGATACCAGGAAATTCAGCAGGACGAACTGCTGTCAACCGTTTTGGGTTCATCCTTGCCACAGCTCCACCACGCACACATAGGCTCACTCACTAGGAGTTTATGTGGGAGGTTGGGCTTTCATATTTCTACTCTCTCTCCCCCACAAAGAGACTTTATTTATGAGTTTTGGGGGGGGAGGTGAAATGATAGCCTAAGGGAGGAACTCATTACACACAGTCCTAAACATTTTACGAGGGAAAAGGATACGAGAGGATGACATCCACAGCAGGATAACCCTTCCATATAAGGGTAGGCATTCTCCTCACATCCCCAGTGAGAGATTTTCCACAGCCCAAATTAAATTCCCAACCCAACGGAATGAAAAATGCATTTGATTTTTTTTGTTTTCTTACAGAAAATCAATTTGTCTTTTATTGATTCAGAAAAAGTTCAGTTTCATTTTTGTTTTTCTTTTTTGGGTTTTTGGATGACAGCATTTGCTCTTTAGGTTTTTCCTTTTTCTTACCAAAGAGACGTTACGTTTTCTTCACGTTTTACTTTTGTGTTGTTTTCAACTCGTTCAACGTCCACAGTTAAATCTTTTGCTATGTTCGGTTTATGCCCTCTCAAGTCGCTTTTAGTTCGGGACCCAGGGATTTTTCAACCTGCCCTCGCTTAGCTTCTTGCCTCTTGATTCTCTTGATGTTCTATACTGATCTAATCTCTTTTCTTTTCTTTTTTTTTACTTACAATTAGATTTAATTTTTGTTTTTTCATCATTTACTTTCTGTTTTTTTTTTGTTTTTTGGTTTTTACGTTTTTCTTGTTCAACTAGTCTTAAGCGAAATAAGCACAAAAGCTGCAAAATGTTTTGCTTAAACTAATTTTTCATTTTTAAACTTGTTTTCTTTTCATTGTTATTTTGGGTTTTTATCTGCTATCTCTCGATCTCCAATTCAGTGTTTCTCCTTCATGAATGATCTCTTTTGCATTTAAGTTGAGGGCACAAAAAGTACGCGTATAAATTTGAAAGTTTTAGCAAAGATTTCGCTTTTTCGCATTTTTGTTCATGTCATTTGTCTGTTTTTCGAGTTTTCCATTTTCATTTTCGTGTTCGTGTGTGTGTGTTTCCTTTTTTTTTTTAGCTTTTACTAGAGATTTAAATACAATTCTTTCGCCATATAAAAATGCTTAAAAGCGTCACATTGATGCAAAAAATAATACTTTAAAAAATACACAGAGAGTTTGAAAAGGATTCCTCATGCTTTTTCGATCGATCGTTCCTTCAGTTTTTCGTTTTTTTTTTCAATTCTGGAGGATTACAAAGAGAGTTGTAGTTTTTTGTTTTTAATTCTTCTGATTTAATTTTACCAGTTTGCGCATTTGCTTTGCTTGATTTTTGTTTTTTTTTTTGTGGTTTTTCGGTTTGTTTTTTTTTTATCATTGTTAATAAGAAAATGAATAAAGTTCTTTAAAAGACTTTGATTTAAAACTTAAAAATAGCAACAAGCGAAATGTACATTACTCTCATTTAAGTATTTCTGTTTCTAAGTTTAATTAGCTGCTTGCATTTTACGCTTACTTAAAGTTAGTTTACGCCTTTGTCGTCGTGTTTTGTTCCTTTCCCCTAAAACCTTCCCTCCCTCTAACCTTTCCTTCTACAAACCATCGTTCCATCATTCCAAAACTTTCTTATTTATTTTTTAAATATAATGAGCTTGTTTTCTTAGCATCCTCTGCCTGTCGTCCCATCGTTTTGCTAGCGTTCATTCATCTGGCTCCGCGCTCTCTCTTCCCTCCCTTCACTTTTATGTGTTTTCATTTTCATTTTGTTTTTGGTTTTTTGTTTGTTTTGTTTATATTCTTGGTTTCGTCAAAAAAGTTTCAAAAAAATATATATTCATCATTTCCTTAAATTGGCTTAATTAAAAAATGTTTATTTATTTCTCCCGCTCGCCGCCGCTCACGCTCTGCTCTCTGCCCGCCCCTAAACAACGACTAAGACGACTAAGTTTGCCTCCTGTTTAAAACACAATTTAATTTAGTATATTTTGGGGATTCAATTAATTTAGGAATTAGGAATTCATTCATTGAAAACTATTTGGTGTGGGGGGGAGTGGGGGTGATTAATAAGCTTACTGGTAAATTCATATAGCAAACATTTTACTACTAAGAAATCACATCGAAGTTAAAAACGCAAAACTAAACGAAGGAAAACGCACTTAAAAACCAAAAGAGATTGATTTATTTTGTTTTTTTTTAGTTTTTATTGAAATTTTTTGTTGTTTTTAGTTTTCAATTTTACGCACTAGACATTTTTTTGTTTGCATTTTAAAAATTACTTCAACACTTGCATCAAATTTAATCGATTCGCGCTCTCGGGTTGCGAGAGACTTTCAATCAGGGGCGAGATACCCACAAGCAATCTTGAATCTTGGTTGGGGTCTCGGCGATTTTAAGACAAATAATAAATTAACTACTTAAAATTAGTTAAAAAACTAAAGTAAAACGCATTAAATTAAAACAAAATACAGACGCAAAACAAACGAGTTCCAAGTTTGGTTTCTTGTCAAAGTAGATTTAAATACACACACAAAAAGTCAGTATAGCTTTTAGATTAGAACACTCTTCTCGTCGGTTGATTTTTTTGTTTATTGTTTGTTACCCTTGCTCTTAAATCCTTTCATTTTCATCCATCATTTTGTTTTGTTTTTTTATTCAAAAATTAAACCTAACCTCAAACTGTGCGACGTGGCGTTTTCCAACACTGTCGCTCTAACTACACAAAAACTACAACTTTCTACGTGTGTGTTTGTTGCACTCCAACTAACCAACTATTCTTTCTCCTTTCGCTACCAACTAGAAATCATATAATCCTACTCGTCTCCGTCTTTCTTTCTTTCGTTCTACTTTCTTCTTGCCTCGTTCTACGCATCTGCTTTCTTCTTTGCTTGTCAACACTGTACTTAGATTCTCTAGACTTAAACACTAGACTTTGATCTTATATACTAGGGTTTTCTTCTCCTTCTGCTTCGACTCGATTTCCATTCCGTTCACTAAAACATAAATTTCATTTTCACTTTCCTAGGGACAGGGGGCGCCGCTTAAGACACGCCCCCAGCTCTTCTTCCTCTCGTTTCTTCTGTCGTTTTATAAATAACTTAGAGTTTAATGCTTTCTCAATTTGCTTAAGTTGTTTTTGCTGCTAACAAAGTAAAAATCAATGAAAACTACAGAAAGAAAATTGCACTTTGTGTGTGAGTTGTTTGTTTTAGGGGGTAGGTGTATGCGTGTGCGTGGGCGTGTGTAGTAGTTGTATTAAGGGAAACAGGATTGAAAATCTTTCAAAAATATCCTCCCAATGAGTGGTTTTGTTGTATTTGTGATTCTTCTCTCTTTTTTTTTTAGGACAACAAATGCAGGCATCATCTCGCACGAATTTCATTTTGAAACAATTTCGCTTTTTGGAATGTCTTGGCAAAATATATGTATGTGTGTGTGTTTGTGTATTTCATCGATGCCTGCATTAACTAGGTGTAAATGTATGTGTGTTCGTTCTTTCATCTTTTTCGAGGGTTTACAATCCTGCATTTGTTGTTGTTGTTGTTGTTGTTGTTATTGTTACAGTTTCAGTTCGTAGTCAGTCTAAAGCAAATAATCGTAAAAAGACAAGAAAAAAAAACATTTGCATTTTGTTGTTGTTTTGGTTTTAGGCTTAGGAAGACTTTTGGCGTTGTGTTTCTTACGTTTTTATATATATATATATTTATATATATATAATGTATATATATATATATGTAGATAGTTCAGTTAGGCGACTCGACAACTCTAATCCCGTAAATCAAATCGTATCAACGCATACATATGTATATATCAAAATCAAATCAAAGACTTTGCTCAGGAATGTTGTTTGTGGTTGTGAGGGCGTGTGTGTGTGTGTGTCCTTGCTCAAACGGAGATTCTCAATAAAACATTTATCTTCGCCACACTTTCTACCACCCACTTAGCGCCCACTTGATGTTTCCCTTGTTTCTCTTATCATGTTTCGTTAATCAACATTAACATTCGAAAAAATCACAAATACAATGCTTAGGCTTGATAGGTGTGTGTATGTGTATGTCCGTGTCTCAGTGTGTGTCTGTTTCGGGAAAATAAATATGCTAGGCTTTGAAAAAGGTTAAATTTCAATTCTAAACTTCGTCCTTCGTTCTTCAACTCTACTTAAGAGACGCTTACAAGACTAAAGAAATCTTCGCTTATTAACTAAGTTCACTAAACGTAGTTCTTTTCTTCTTTCTTAATTCTTCATTATGTTTTTTTTTTGTTGTTGTTATCAATTTAACATTAATTTTCTTGGTTTTTGTTTTATATTTCTGCTACTGCCTGTGCCAGTTGTTGCTGTTGTTCTTCCGTTTTCTTCTTTTCGATCCTTGCTTGATCCTTCCACAAAAATCGTACATTCTTCTTCGCCGGCGATCTTCACAAAGCTAAACTACAATTCTACAGTTTTAAATCGAATTCTTCTTTTCTGTGTGTTTGCTACATCGTTTGTTGTGTGTGTTGTGTCTCTCGGTTTGTTTCGCTATTTCCCTTTTAAAAAGTGTTTGCCTCTTGGTTTCCTTGCTAATCAAACTCCGTTCAACTCCTTCTCTTTCTGCTCTTCAACAACATGTCATATGCAGAAAAAATATACTATATATCTAAGTTCTGTTTTTTTTGTTTTTTCATTTGTTTGTTTGTTTTTACTTTCCTCATTTTAATATGTCTAAAAAACAGTTAACGTAAAAAACTGTAGACAGCTACAAAAAATTCATTCATTAAATCGACTGATGAGCACAAAAAATATGCTAAAAACTAGTACAAGATTTCCCGCCTCCTTCTACTCTTCGGCCATCGTAAGCTTTTTGCTGCTTACACTCTTCCGTCTTCTGCTTTCTTTAGATCTCTAGAAACTACTAAATCTGTTTTTTGCTTACTGCAAGTTTTTTTTTTCTCTTATTCTTGTTTTGCTAAGACTTAATACTAGGTTTTTGCCCACTTCAAAGGCTCTTTCTTCTCTTTTCTTTTGTTTTCATTTATTTTTCTTCTTTTTGACTGCTTGGATAGCACAAAACGAATGTCAAAAAGAGGGGGGAAATAGACGTTTCTTTTTTTTTGTTTCGCTTCTACGTTTTCTATGTTTTCGGATCTTTGCTTTATACAATTTGCATGTTTTTCTGGTTGAAGAAACCAACAAAAGGAGAAAACAAACCAAAGATCTCCTTTCTTGCTTTTTGTGGCTATCTACGCTCTTCTTCTCTTCGTCTTCTCTTCCGTTCCCCGTTCTTTGTGCTGTTCAACACGATTCAACAAAAATACAAAATAAATATTACAAATTAGACAAACAGAACAAAACAAAAGGTAGAGTCTGAGTTTAATCGTAAAAATTCTCCTTCTTCTTCTTTAGCAGGCCACAACAAAGAAAACGTTGCCTCTAAGGTAAAAAAGTTTTGCTTTCTTCGGCGCATTCTTGCGCTTTCTTCGCTCTTCGTTCGTTCTTCTGGGGGTTTCTTTGTTTGTTGCCGCTGCAGTTTGACTTAAGAGTTATGCTTTGTTTATATTCATCATCGAAATGGGTTTTGTTTCGTTTTTTATTTTCTCTGTTTTTCTTTACGGTTCTTTAACATACATTGCACACACATTTATTTTTGTTTTTGTTTCTGCTTTTTTCTTCTATCTTCTTCTTTCACTTCACAAATTTCTGTCTGCTTAGGTTTTTGCTAGCTCAAAATTAGCAAAATAGTTTCTTTTTTTTTATTTTCTCTTCTATTTTTTACATCGCTTTTCCTCGGTTTTCCCCCAATGCAATTGTTTTACATCCTCTTGCGCTTAACAAAATTAACTTAACTCTAATCTGCGATGGTTTTTTTTTCTTTCTCAGCAGATTCTTCCTCAAGTTCTTATGACCCCCCCAAAGTGAGTTTCCTTTCCTTATGACTTTGCCTTCCCTTCGCATCCTCCTGCAGTTCTCTTTTTGTAAATATTTTCGACTGCTCTCTCTTTTTTTCTCTTCTCTCTTTTTGCTTGCCGCTGTTGTTTTGGCAATTGTTGCCGTTGCTGCTGTTGCTTCTCTGGTTGTTTATTTAGTGTATAACTATTCTCTATTATTTAAGTTTAGTCTTTGCTTTTCTTCACTTTTTTCTTGCGTCTTCTGCGCTCGTCTCTTCGGAGACCGGCTTTCTTCCCTTTATTTTCTCATCGCTTACATTGTATTCATGTATCCCCTAAACTTCATCCTCTCACATCCTCCAACCTTCTTATTTATACATTTTCTTTTTCTCTGCCTTAGCTTTTTCTGGGATTCCCCCTTCTTATCTTTCTTTTCTTTTTGTGGGGGTGGCTTTTCTTTAGATTTATTTTCGTAAACTGCATGCTGTGTTTCTGATTCTTCTGACGACGACGTTGTTGTTGTTGTTGTTGTTGTTTCAGTAGTTTCTTCTAGTTTCCTTGTTCATGTGGTGGTTGTGGCTGTTGTTGTTGTTGTAGAATCCTTTTGATGTTTCTTCGTGTGATTTTCCTTCTTTCTTGACTTTTCCGCTCCCACCAGGCTTGCTCTCACTCTCGTCCAATTTATATAGTACTCAAATGGGGTACTAATATATTATAGCTAAAAAAGTTAAAGTTCTGATTAGTCAAAGGCTTAGTTAATCTGAAGGTTAATGTGAAGGGTTAATGGGTTTAAGCACAGGAAGTCGTGTTTACATGCAAGTGAGATATGATGAATGATATTTACCTAGTATGGATTACCAGTGATAAGACTGCTTAGTAACTATACTATTTAAGAAACACAGCCATGTTGTTGTATCAAAAAGAAGCAGCAGAAGGTTGTTAAGAAAATAAATAGAATAGATTTGTATTTAGTTTTCAGTGGAAGTGAAGGAAACATATTGTTAATGAACAGATCTGAAGCAAACAGGCAAGCAACAACAAGCAGAGCACACAAAACACATGAAGCCGATGATTGTCAGTGTGCGTGAGTGTGTGTTTTGAATGTGCAGTGTTGGTAAATGTCGTTTGGTGTTGGCAAAGCTCAAAGAATGCAAATGATATTGAGTGAGTGAGAAGATTTCTGTTTGAAGGTGATCGGGGGCTTTGAAAGCAAGGAGAGCACATGCAAGGTCAAGTGATAGAACCTATAAAAGATTGAAGTTAATTAAACTTAAGCCTTATTTTACAATTTATTTCTTTTTATATCTTTAAAAAGAAGGTTGGCTAAGTTAACAGAAACTTAAACATATGTTACAAGGCTCAAGTTGAAGAAACTTTGATTTATGGTTTTCTTTTTCAGCATGAATCTTATAATGACCAGAGATTGAAAAGCAGACAGAGATGTATAAATCCTGTGAGAAAGTGAGTTGACATAGAGATAGAGCGAGAAACGGGAACAGCAAAGAGGACAGTGACTGAGAGAAGACTTCACTCACCTCGCGAAGACCTATTTGGGAGCTGCTTGATGTGGATACTGTGTGTATGCCTCGTCGGGTGATGCAGCTGTGCTAGCCTGTTCGGAATCTGTCATTGGCATTGTTGGTATAATAGTTGGTGGTGGTGCATAATATGGATAAGTTGGACTAATATACTGTAACGATGGAGAAAAGTTCTATAAAAGAAACCGAAAAAAAAAACAAACAAAAAAAATATACAAAAAATAATTCCAAACAAAAAATCAATTCATAAAATTAAATATATAAATTAATTAGAGTAAAAGAAAGGAATAGAAAGAGTACAAATTAGGTATCAACTTTCAATATTAAACAGACAAACAGCTTACACCAAGAAGATCTTAGAAATTACAGATCTTCAAAGTGTCTTCAAGCTGAAAACTCGTTTTCTTTCTTTTCAATCCACAAGGATTTTCAAAAAGGAAACTCGAAAGAAAGAGTTTCGAGATTAGAGATCATAGATCGGTGGCTTACAGAGTTGCCGATCTGCAGGGTGGCCAACTGGGGCATCATCGTTCCATATGGCACGCCCGTATCGCCGCTGACCATCATCGAGATGCCACGGGGCTGCACTTGGTTAACCGCCTCCGGTTTGTATGAGGTAACACCCAATTGAGGGGCAGCTGCCATTTGCATGTACTATAAAAAGAAAGAAGACTAATTAGTATAAGTTTCAAGATCAAATAAAAACCATATTATACTGGATTAAATCATGATATGATCAATAAGATCAGCTATCTTGACTTTACTATATGAACTTTAAAATTTAATCCAGTATTTCATAACCATAATGGATATAACTCCACTACTCACCTGATCATCTACCTGAGTGATCGGCTGGGTCATCATATAACCGGGTATCCATTGGGAACCGGCCACTGGATAGCCACCCACCTGGGGTGCACTGAAGCGGGAATATGGCACTCCGATGGGTGTGCCGACGTTAACGCTAACGCCATTCTGTTGCATAGTGGGATCATAGGCAACGGGAATCCCCTCCGCTGAGACATCGCGCCACGCACGCGCATTCGGGTCGGGAGTCTTGAAGAGATTCTTCTTTTTGGGTCCGCCATCGGCAAACTTAACCAGCAGGGGATCTTTGGCACCCGGTATTGTGTTACTATTGAACATCTGAATGATTTGCTCGCACTTCTCGCGACTCTCCATACGGGCAAAGCCAACGCCTATAGGGGTTTAAGAAAATAAAAGTCATTAAAGATAATGAATCATTTACGATTGCCCTAAATTATTATATAATCATCTTTGATCATTTTCTAATTTGACGATTAATAAAGGCAACCACTTTCTACTCACCCTTGGAGTTCATCTGCTGATCACGCAATATTCTGGTCGAAACAACTTGTCCGTATTTCGATAGCATTGCCTCCAGATCAGTTTCTTTGAAGTGAGGCGGCAAATTTGCAATATACAAATTTGTGGGATCCTGTTCCTGTTGCTGTGTGGTTGTTGTATGCAATTGGGTCAGATCAGGGTTGGTGTTTTGTTGTTGTTGTTGTCGATAGTCGATTGTTGATTGTTGATTTGTTGTTGAAATTGAATCGATTTAAATTGGTTTGTTGGTTTTGATGATGGTTTTTTGGTTCGTTTGTTTCGTTTTCACACAAATTAACGTTACACAAAAGCAGTTGGCGTAAGCATGTGTATTTTTATTGGTGTGCGTATGCATTTTGATGTGTGTGTGGGTGTGTATGTTGAATTTTTGTGAAGTTGTGTATATATTTGTTTTATTTTTTTTTGCGAGAGAGAGAGAGAGGGGAGTAGAGAAATTAAGAACGTAGAGATTTTGTCATTAGTAAATATTCAAGTTGCTTTCCAAAAATGTTTCTGTTGTCAACTCTTTTTGGACTGTTTGTCTGTTGTCAGTGTGTTAGTGTTAGTGTTAAGTGTGCCTGACTCTTGCGAAAGTGTCTGTGTGTGAGTGTGAATGTAATGCCTCAGACTTATCGGTTATCAGACCTTATGCGGAAAAGTAGACCTAGAGAACTTTTTACCCCCTTGAAGATGAAGTGTTTTGCTTTTCCCTTAACGATGCTTAATGGAGATGGCAATAAATCGATAGTATCGACATATTTTGATTTAAATCGATAAAAGGTTTTAAGTTTTTATATTCTGAATACAATGTTACGTATGTTTTATGATAGAAACCTTTATGTTAACTTCAATTTAGATCGAAATATCGATTTAACCGCTTAATCTATCGATAATTTGCCACCTCAAATGCTTAATTAAGTTAAATACCTGCTCAGCAATTATGTCTTAGGGTTTAATGAGATCTGTTTGATTGTTATACTTAGAGTTTAGATAGTATTTGGTTTTTTTTGGTTTTGATTTTTGGCCGGCACAGGTTTGTAGCAATTTGCGTACTCAAACAACAAACTTTTGTAGTAGGTTGAAGTAGTAGAGGTTGGTTATATACTTGGCTGGCTATAACTTCAAAATACGAGTATACAGTTTATACAGTTGAATATACAGATTCAATATATAGCAATATATATATATATAGAGAATATCAGATATGAAGAGAGATATACGCTAGTTTATACTGTTTTCTATGGTGTTTGTAAGTGTGTTTTGTTCAACTCTATAGATTACAATCATTAATGCCTACGCAAATACGTGTGGTCTGTGTTTTATTTGTACAGCAAACTTTCCATTATTTTCGCTGGCCATGTTTTTTTAATGAGCCTTTAATGCCATCGGATTATAACAAGAAAAAAAAAAGGAAGGGGAGGTGGAAACAAAGTTGCTAAGCTCTTCGAATGAAAAACTTTTTGATTTGTTTACAAATTTTTAATATGCACGAATGAATGGACAAAAATTGAAATTGATGCCAAATCCCAGAGTCCATAAGCCGCTGTAAATGGCCGCTAATTATTGATAACAAGTTACCAGTTAAATATATTGGGGATGTTAACAATTTTCATCTTTAACAGAATTTCGGGTATGACTTTCTCTACTTAAATAAATGAGTTTTTTTGTTCAACTAAAAACTACTTAAATTTAGTAACTATAACCCAATTTCCCATTTAGTAACTAAGCTACAAGATCTCTTAAGGAAAAGTTACATGAAGTATGAGTTAAGAACTTAAAAATTGATGAAAAATTAAACATTTTTTATACAGAAACATGTTTCTTCTAGTATGGAAACATTTTTGATTGATGAAAATCTATTACTTTAATTTAAATTTCCGATTTGTTTTAAAATTAAAAAACTAATATAGTAGCAAAATTCTAGATCTAGCTTGATGAAAAGCCTAGTTTATGTAGGGGATGTACTGCATTCTAATCATGTTCAAATACCTTATGGAAAATGTTTTACACTAAACTCTAACTATACCTGTACTGTGTGTGTGTTTTTACGCTTAATGCAATTAATTTACCAAAACAAATCCGCTAAAAAAAACTTTAATTGTTCTCACTTAATGTTAGGGCTCATATATTATCAACTGCTAAAGGAAGATTAAAGAGAAGGATTATTTATTCAATGACTTTCAGCTTCATAAATATAAACTAATGAAGGCCATTAATAAATGCATTTATTCTCAATTAAATATGGAAATGTAATCTACGCTATGTCGTTTTTAAGCTACCTCTAGACAAAGAAAGACAAAAACAAAAGGAAATAAATCTAAAAAATATATAGATATATATGTTTTCTCTGTCTATATAGTCGGTTATATAGAGATATAATGTGTGGTTTTCTTTTGGTATACGACAAACGGTTATACAAAGAGAGTTTTTGGAACAACACTACGAACTAGAGGTTGGGATTGGCTTTGGGGTTTTTGGTTTTTGGGGGTTTATCAAAGGTGGATAATCAAATCAAATACAGGTTAATGAAAAGATATAGAGGAATACACACACTGCTGTGTGAGAAGTTTAGTATTTCTAGCGCCTCGTTTGGTTTTCTTTTTACAAGTCTGAGAATTATGCTTCTCAGGAAGTGGTAACCCAATTATTTCTTAGGCTCTTAGACTCATGTTGAAAGAAAAGCTGAACTAAAATTAGTTTTAAAACCATAAACTTGCAGTTTTGGTATTTAGTTTGATATTTTTTAGTCTAGACAGCCGTTTCTCTAAGCTTGAGTTCTGAGCCTTAACCGAAAACTAATTTCAGCCTTAAACAAAAACTAAAATAACACAAATTGGAGGCAACTTTTTGGGGTCAGTAAACAGTTAACGAAATGCACAAATGACAGAGGGAGGAGATTTGGATTTTTGGGAGGAGGGTTTGGTGGAGTTTGGATTAGGAAGATGGGACATTTTGGCGGTGTGTGGGGGGTGAGTATTACTTGCATGCAAACAAACGTACAATGGCCGGCCTATGAAGCACCCAGATACCCACTTTGGCCATCTGAGCTTGCACGCCCTTCCCCTGCAATCCTTTTACGGCGCACTCGGCGAAGGCTGGCTGCTCGAAGTCGACGAAGCCGTAACCTGCAAGAAAGCATATTTTGTTTTTGTTTTTCGTTGTTGTTTTTTGTTTTTGTTTTTGTTTATTTTTTTAATATTTTTTGTTTGTTTTTGTGTGTTGCGGGTGGGGGGGAATTTTATTTTTATTTTTTTTAATTGCATGTATAAATATATATATAAATATATTTGCAGAGATAGATAGAGAGAGAGAGGAAGAGATGTTTATTTATAGTCCAATATTTTTTTGGTTCGTACACAAATCGAAAATTGAAATTGAATTGGAAAACAAGGAAATTTTCGCATTGGGGGTCAACGACGTGCAACAAAAACAAAATCGAACAAAAACAAAATATTCGTTCAACAAGAAAAAGGGAAGAGCAGAAAGAAAAAACGGGTGAAAATTAAATTAATAATTAATTTAACTCAACTTAAACACTAAAAAAAAGGGGAGACAAAACCGAAAAGCAAGAAAAAAACAAACTCAATAAAAAGATATATTTATATCGATACACGCACACACATTGATAGAGAGAGAGAGAGAGAGATACACTATTTGTACAGCTTGTTCGATAGTTTGGTTAGTTATCGGGGTATTTACATATTATCGTAATCGTTATTATTAGCATTAATCGAGTGCATCGGTAGCAGTAGTATTTGTAATAGTAGAGTGGAATGCATGAATGACACGATTGCGAAATGATCAGGAATCAAACGGAAAAACTCAAAAGTCTGTAGAAGGAAATGAAGTTCAAACTTGTAAAATGCCAATTTATTATTTTGAAAATTAAATTTAAAAAAATATAATTTTATATATAGAAAAGAAACTTAAAACGAACGAGCAAAAAGTGGTGATAACTTTAAAAAATCATAAAAAAATGCTGAGAGTTCTTAGAAGTTTTTAGGTCTAGAAAAATAAAATTTGAAATTAACAGTAAAAAAAACTTCTCTTAAATAAATAAAATAATTTTCCCAAGACCTCTCAGCATTTCTTAATAAACTAAAAATGTCTTAAAAAATCAATGAAATTTCAGTTTTTGGTTTGTTTATATTTTTTTCTTGCGTTTCTTTTTTGGATATCTTTTTTTTTTTTTGTTTTTACATAAACACATACTAATAATACTTATACAAAAACACACATAAATAAAATAATGATGAGAATGGTGAAGAAAAAAATACCTTTACATTTGTTTGTTGTTTTATCTAAAATAGCCTTGGTTGATATAATTGTTCCATATCTGAAAGTTGTAAACAAGAACAGAAAGACACACACACAGGTGGGTTAAACAGAGTTCAAAATATATAGTATATATATTATATTATATATGGACAATGGGATATTTCGTTGCATGACAACGACTGACTGCAAAGAATGGATAATGGATAATCAGATTATAAACACATTCATGTCTCTCAGGGTGTGCGTCTGCTGGTGCTGCCACGTGCCACTATATATATGTATATCTATATGATCTGGGAGGGGGTCGGGTTAACCCTCTCCTCGATGAGACACCTGGCCCAAGTGCCTCTGATTGGACCGAGTTTACTTTACCGTAAGCAATTAAAGTGTCATTAAAATGCAATTGCCTGCAGCAGGAGAAAAGGACGCTGTGCCGTACACTACCAACAGCAAAAGAAGAAAGAAAAAAAAGCAAAATAAATTAGCCTTCAATTTAATTACTTGACTTACAACGATGCAGGGGGAGTGGGGAGGTGGATTGGGCTCCCTACCATTTCATTATGCTTTTTATGTTCGTGTGACGCCGCAAATAACTTATTTTTTATGCATAAAAGAAATGGCCAACAGTGCGTATGCGTATTATACACACACACACACACACTCTCTTAATAATAATAATAATAAGTTTCAGTTTGTTGGTATACCACAAAAATGATTTCCTCTTTGGATATCGCCCCCACCAGACTAACATTTTTGATAAAGCGTGCGCACTAATTAGTGGATTTTGTTTAGTTTGCAGAAACTTGGCCTCGTCCATCAGAAGAAGGTCAGGGGTAGTTGGTTTTTTGGGGGTTACTTTTCGGGGCCGAAAGCAGGATAAAGGATGCGGGGTGGCTGCCTGGATGGCTTTATGGAAACTCAGCCAAGCGGAATGGACTGAAGCTTAGCCGCTCATTAGCAGAGGGGTTGGTGGGGTATTGGTGGAGCGGATTCGACGGTTGGAAATGGATTTCGGGTTCCGTTTCGTCTTAAAAACACACACACACACACCAGATCACATCACATCTCACTACTCAGTGGGGGTCAAATCAATAGTCGGTCACATACACTTTTCGAATTAGTTCATTTCGTATGGATAGCATTTTGTATGCCAAAGATACAAATGTATCTGAAAGATACTACTTAGAAAATGAAATAGAAAGGAGAATTGAATACATTTTCTTGGAATATATTTATCGGAAAATGGAAAACTGATATAGGAAATCATTTCCACAGAAGACCTCAAAGACTTCTTATCAGATTTAATTTAACATTTCTTCTAATTTTCTAAAAATATTAAAGTTATGTTTACATCATAAACTTCTTTGCTAAAAAATATTTTTAATGACTTTTTTAGTGCTTCATAAAACCCCTCATGATGTTCCATAAATAACTAGCAATTCATTTTTCTTTGCCGCCCTGTTATTAACATTCAATTAAAATTGATGAAGAAGCTGCTTCTAGCTCAAAGGCATCCTCATCTCACAGGCAATATATACAGCATATATATCTATAAACTGATATATAGATATCAACCACACTAAAAGCCTGAAGCTGCAAAAACAATTAAAACGAATTTACATAATGGCCTGCCCAGGGAGCTGTGTGTTAGATATAATGCAATTTAATGTGATAGGTGGACCGCAGAGACAAGATACAAAACCGCAGGGCAAACCTACATACATAGGCACAAATCACTGAGAGGCTTGATTGCATTTGAATCTGATTTGAAATGGCAATGAAAAGGGTTTGAGTTAAGGTTGCTTTTTCTTTTTCTTTTTCTTTTTCTTTTTGAGAAGACCTTTTGCTCCTGGTACTCACTGTGCACACATATTAACTAGATCCTTGTCGGTTGTGCCCTGCTGCAGTCCGCGAATGTAGAGATTTGTCTTGGACAACTGCTCGCCGCCCTGTTGGTTTTGATTCTGTACCGTGCCGTTGGGACCCATGTTCGTGTTGGTGTTCGTCGTGTTGCTCAGGCTGGTGCTCAGCGTGCCGCTCTGGGAGCCCGTGTTCGAGGAGCTGCTCGAGTTGGTGTTGCTCGGTGAGGCTGCCGTCGGCACTCGCTGACCGTACTGCAAGAAATTGGAGAAGATATGACTTTAGTACATGGAAAAAGTATACAGATTTTTAAATAAGGAAATTCTCAATCCCAATTGTATACTAAACACCGTTCAACAGCAAATTGATTTCAAATATCAGAACTAATGTTCATCTTTCAGCAAGGAAACCCAATGATAGGTGGTCAAAGGATTCTCAACTACCCCTTGGGAGCCCAAAGCTCTAGGCAATATTAAAATGTATAGTGCAAAAGTATGTCGATAATATTAAGCGATTTGGCTTTCAACATCTACAGATTGAGAGAGGGAACGAGGCAGAGGAGCACAAACTGGAGGCAGTGCAAGTATTTTTATTGAAATTCCAACTGGAATAGCTTGCCATTCGAAGTTATTGAATGCTGCTTGGCTCACACAATGGCTAGATAGATAGATAGATAGATAGAGAAGGGGATAGCTACGATGGACAGAGATAGAGACAGAGGTAAAGCGGTAAAGGAGACATGCAGATAGGTAGAAGCAGAAAGAGACAGGCACACACACACACACATTGGCATGTCGACGACAGCCATGACGATGGCGTTTTTCACTTAAAATGCCACACATGTGCCAGGAGGGAAGGGCGACACGAATAAAGAAGGATACGGCGTTGGAGCCTGAGCTTTGCATATAGGGCTGCAGGATATTTGGCAGCTGCAGTCGAAGGCGTTGAAAATCTATAAAATTTGTATGCAACAAACAATGGCTTCTCACACACACACACACACACACTCGAGTCCAACAAACTTTGCCATTGATACATTTTTGAAAATTTGCCAAAAACATTATTTTATTCGCTCAGCAAGCAGTAGCAGTAGCACATCAGCGGGAAATGCTAAAATATGCAACCAACAACGAAAAAAAGTTCTACTAAAAATTCACCCGAAAAAAATTGCAAACTGAAAATCAAGCAAATTTCTCTTTTGTTTCAGTGGAAAAACTTTTTATCCAGCCGCAAAATCCATTTGCATGAAAGCCACTGAATTTCAGGGGTTAGGCCAAAAAAAAAAGTTCCAGCTAATTGATCCGTGTCATGATGCCCCCATCTCACTTATGGCCAATACTTCCCTCGGTAAATCACACAAATTCAATTTTTTAAAAGTGTAAATCCCCAGAGGTGCCAAAAATCATTTGGGACTTTACATATTTGGATTTGTTTGCAACAAAAATCAATTTGTTTGGCATGAATAATGAAATTTGTAAGAGAAAATAGTATGTAGAAAAGTATTTACAGAAAAGATAAACTTGTGATGCATAAAGTTCTTCTATCATAGTAAAAGTCCAGCCTTGTCTTGTCTTTCTGTGAAATCCTGTCTTTGGCTGATAAAATATATTCCACTCATGTTTCTTTCTGTACATTTTCCTTTTTCTTTTTTTCGCTGGGATTTATAAGCAGACGTGAAAGTCACGCTTCGGCAAGCAAACTGGAGATAGAAATACAAATCATAAGCCCGGCACCAGCAGCTATCTCTCTGGGCCAAGTCCAAATAAACTTTGACTCCCTAAACTCGTTAAGTTACTCCTTAACTCCGCAATCGCAAAGATACATTTTGAGCAGAGTTTTCTACTGCGAAATTGCTTCCTTTCTTCTCGCATGCAAAACATAATTAAATAATAAATTCAGCCAGCAAATTTTTGTAGTCAGCAATTGTTTATCTGTCGCTGTATGTGTAAGTTAACACACCCAGTTCCCAAATTGGGAAACTGCCGAGTTGCAGGCCACATCCGGTGGCCAACACACGGAATAGGGAAACCGCCGACTTTGCACTCCGGGGACAATCACCCGGAGCCCGGCCAGAAGTGGTCAACATGCGCGATGATGAAACCGCCGACTCTGCACTCTGGGGGCAATCACCCAGAGCCCGACCAGAAGTGGCCAACACGCGCATTAAAGAAATCGTTGACTCCGCACTCTGGAGTCTATCCCACGGTTCCCGGCCAGAACACTCGCGCAGTGAGTGATCGTATGCAACGGGATAAAATTGCTGATCCGGCACTTTGGCGACAGCGCTGCGACTGGACGAAGACTTCTAGCTGCAGCCGGATCGGATATTTAGTTTAGTTTTTAATCATACTCCGTAGCCATAGCTACGTAATAAACAATTGTAACATTGTACTACTCCATTTATATGATCCTTTACCTTAACAGGTTTAGGTGGAATAAATAATTAAATCAATTAACCAATCTCTTATTAATGGATCCTGGCCCCAACGGGCTCGAGTGAAAGAATATAAAGGTCGGTATTATTTAATTGACGCCCAACGTAACCGACTCACGCGATACGAAGTGTTAATGCAGTTACAGAAGTAATTGCAATCGGTAGTGAAAATTAATTAAAAAATTAATTAACAAAAAAAATAAAGAGAACACACAAAAAGTGCAGTGCTCAAAAATACGCCAAGAAATTTTTCATACAAAAAAAGTGAACAGGAAAAAAATTCCCCACTTAAGTGAAAATTAATTAAAAAATTAATTAATAATAAATAAAAAAAGAGAACACACAAAAAGTGCAGTGCACAAAATTGGTGGGAAGAATACGCCAATAAATTTTTTAGTACAAAAAAAACGTGAACAGAAAAAATAAGTGAAATTAAAAAAATTACCCACTAATAAAGTGCAAAAATTGCAATTAAAAAATTAATAATAAAAAAAAAAAAATTACCAAGAGAAAATTCATCAAACCTAAAAAAAAAGTGCAAAAAAACAGCGGCGGAAAAGACACGAAATACGCCAAATAAAAACGAAACAAAGACAGCAGCAGTGAAAAACAGCAGCAACAAAAACAGCAGCAGTGAAAAACAGCGGCAACAAAGACAGCAGCAGTGAAAAAAAAAAAAACAGCTGCAACAAAGACAGCAGCAGTGAAAAACAGCGGCAACAAAAACAACAACAGCCAAAACAACGGCAGCAACAACAGCAGCAGCGTCAACAGCGGCAGCGACGACAGCGGCAGCGACGACAGCGGCGGTGACGACAGCGGCGGCGACGACAGCGGCAGCGACAGCAGCGGCGGCGACAGCAGCGGCAGCGATAACAGCGGCAGCGACGACGGCGGCAGCGACGACGGCGACAACGACGACGGCAGCAGCGGCGACGACGGCAGCGACAGCCAGAACACATACAAAATCATACGAAATGTGAGTAGGTTTTTTGTCTACATTATCGCCAAACAAAACAAATAAATCCGCGGCACCTAACTGTGGGAACATTAAGAATTCCCTCTCTTTGCAATTTCAAATAAAATCGACTTTTCTCGAAAATAAAAACTTATGAATTAATTAAATTTTTTTTTCTAATTTTTCTTATTTCTCTCGAATATAAAAAACCTTTGAAAAAAAATAAAAAAATTTACTTAAACAATATTTAAATTAAGTAAAAAGCTCTTATTTGAATTTTTCTGGGTGTTCCAAAGAGAACGTATTAAGACATAAATATATTTATCCAGCAGATTCTAAAATAAAAAATTTTCAAACTTCCCATGGACAAATTTTTGTTTAAAAAAATTAAGTAACGGCTTCATGTACCGAAATCCTAAGGAAACCGAGTCAGACGACGAGGTTATTACAGAGTATAGGAAACTGCTAGACATAAAAATACAACGACAGAAAACTCCTCAGGAACAAGAAACTGAGACTTTTTACCAGCCATCCACTAGCAGGGGGGCACTCATTCGACCTAGTACTTTAAAAACTACAAACCCACAGCCGCTTACAATGCAGCCAGAACAGATTGCTAACATGGAGGCCGCTATTACTAGCGCACTTCAAAAACAGCAAGAACTATTCGATAAGAAATTAGCTTTAGTTATGGGAGAGCTAAAATCGCTCAAAACAAAAGATAACATCCCACAAATTCAAACCTATCAGGAAATCGAACTGAAACCTGAGATACAGTGCAACGAACCCCTTGACATGGTCAAGTCGGTTCCAGAATTTGATGGTAGCCAGGAAAATTACATCTCCTGGAGACAAGCTGCCACCGCAGCCTATAAGGTATTCGAACCATACGACGGTAGTAGTCGACACTACCAAGCCGTCGGCATTCTAAAAAATAAAGTGAGAGGATCAGCAGCCGCAGTGCTATCCTCCTTCAATACAGTGTTCAACTTTCATGCCATACTGGCACGCTTAGATTTCACGTACGCGGACAAAACTCCGACGCACGTTATTAAACAGGAATTAAGCCTGTCAAGACAGGGAGAGCTACCACTGCTCAAATTCTATGACGAAATAGAACGGAAGCTAACGCTTCTAACAAATAAAACAATAATGACCCATGACGCAGCCGCGGCTGCCATCTTAAATGAACAGCACAGAAATGACGCTTTACATGCGTTCATATCGGGGTTAAAAAAATCTCTAAAAATAGCCGTTTTTCCGGCACAACCACGGGACTTGCCATCAGCTTTAGCATTAGCACAGGAAGCTGAATCGAGCAACGAAAGAAGTGCTTTTGCGGCCACTTTCGCCCGACATAATGAAGAGAAATCACATAAGCAAAACAACCAGCGACAAGCAGGTTGGAAAAATCCACAGGCCCAGTATGAAAATACGGGAGCAGTTAGGAAAACCCCTCACTTCATTAGAACCCAAAAAGGGGCTAACAATCAGAGTGGTTCCTTTAGACAGAGGCCCCACACAAATTCGGGGACCCACCAGGGTCAACCGGCACCAGAGCCAATGGAGGTCGACCCCTCCTCTAGAAGGGTTTTTACTCGGCCCACAGCGTGGCAAAAAGGGCAGTCAGCCAAACAAAAAATAAATTTCATGCCAGAAGAAAAATCTGACAACGAAGATTATGACACCGTTGCTGAAGCCTGTGCCACCGAAATAGAAGACGAGCTTGATGAAGAAGACTCGTGTAATTTTTTAGATTAAAATCCCTGCTCCCTTACATTACACGTACGGTAGCAGGAAAAGAAATAAAACTACTTTTAGACACAGGCACCTCAAAAAATTACATTACTCCAATCCCGGGG